TAAATAAGGATATTAGGGAAAGATATTAGTTAGATTTATTTAGGCTTTAACGTTATTAGCGCTTATTAGGTAAGTATTATTTTATAGAACTATTACTATAAGCCCTATAATAGGGAGTTTAACGCATTAGAGGTAATAAACTAGAGATAATAACTAGTAAGGCTATTATTAACGCTATTAATAAAGATTAGGAAGGTAAGGAGCTAGAAATTTTAAAGGGGCTAAGAGAAGTACTTCTAAAGTATATAATAGAATCTAACTATACTAATAAATTTTTTTTAAGCTAATAAGGAGGTAGAGATTATTATATATCTAAGAGAGCTATACGTCCCTATTAATTCGTTATATATCCCTATTAATTGCTATTACTATATAGTATAGGAATAGGTATATAAGTAGCTAAAGGGGCTTAGAAAGCGCCTATATAGTATAATATAATAGCCTAGTATATATTATAATAGAATTTAATAAATTTAAATATAGATAAGTATTAATTTTAATAGAATAATATATAGAGAGTAATATAAAAGAATTTTAAATTATTATTATATTTTCTAAGTTTTAAATCTATCCTAAGGAAGTAAAAGAAAAGAAGAAGTATTTCTAAAACGTATTATTATATATAAAACGTTATTAAGTATTAACTATATAGTAGCCTATACTTTAATTTATCTTTAGTTTATAGAGCTCTCTTTATAGAATATTTCTATATAAGGATATATATAGTTATCTCTACTATTATATTTAATAGAGATTAAAATAGATTATTATTATTATTATTTCTTCTTCTTATTCTTATATATAGTATCTATAATATTTATCTTCCTATAAGAGTACCCCTCTAAAGGTAAAGCCTAAATAGTTAGCCTTAATATAGGTTATATACTTAGGGTTTAATTAGTATAGAATAGGCTTAACTATAAATATCCTCTTAAGTTTCTAGAATACTAATTCTTATTCTTTACCCTAAGAGAATAGGTCTTTTCTTTATAAGAGCTATAAGAGGTCTAGTAACCTTAAAGTATATTAGGATAAATATTTAGTAGTAGTTTATAAATCTTAGGAAGCTTTAAACTCCTTTAACTATCTTTAGAGTAGCTTATTCCTTAATTGCTTTTAGTTTCTTAGGGCTATAGAAGATATTTATATTAGCTATAATAATAAAACTAAGGTACTTAATAGTCTTTATAGAAAATATATACTTATATAGGTCTAGCTAGAGGTTAGCTTTAACTAACTTATAGAGGACTAGTTAGACCTTTACTTTATAGTTCTTTTATAATCTATTTGAGTAGATTAATATATTATCTATATATACTATAGTAAAGTTATTAAGAAATTCCTATAGAATACTATTAATATAGTGTTAGAATACAGTAGGGGCCTTAGTAAGGCTAAAGGGAATAATAAGCTATTTAACTAGACTATACTTTATCTAGAATGCTATCTTATTTTCTTCTCTCTTAGTAATTTTAATCTTATAGAATATAGTAATAATATCTAGTTTTATAAACTATTTAGCTATATTTATAGTATATAAGGTTTCTCTAATAAGAGGTAGAGAGTATTAGTTATATTTTATAAGTTTATTTAGCGCTTAGTAGTCTACATAAAACTATATATTACTATTTAGCCTTTATATAAAGAGTATTAGAGTAGAGGCTTTTAAGCTACTTATATAGATAAACCCTTTATTAAAGAGGTCTTAAAGTGTCTTATAGAAAATAAAAAGCTCCTCTTATAATATACTATAGAGAGGGCTCTATAGTAGTATATATAAGAATAAGAAGAAGAAATAATAAAACTAATCTATATTCTATTCTCTATAAAATTAAATAATAGAGATAAATATATAAATTCTTATATAAAAGTATTTTATAAAAAGAGCTTTATAAACTAAGAATTATAAAGTATAGACTACTTAGTAGCTCTAGCTTAATAACGTTATATATATAATAATATATTTTAGAATACTTCTTCTTTCTCTTACTTCCTTAAAGTAGATTTAAAACTTAAGAAATATAATAATACTTTAATATTCTTCTATATTAATCTTTATATATTATTCTATTAAAAATAATACTTATCTATAGTTAAGTTTATTATATTCTATTATAATATATAATAGCCTATTATATTATACTATATAGGCGCTTTTTAAGCTCCTCTATCTACTTATATACCTATTCTTATAAAGATAACTTATAGAAACCTATTAAGAACCTCTAGTACTCCTAGTAGTTACTATAGAAGTATTACTAAGTAAGTAACTTAAGTCTATAAACTCCTCTCTAATTCTAAACTTAACTTAAGAAGAATTATTCTTAATACTTTTAGCCTAAAGATCCTTTATAATATACTACTTATAGGTATTTAATATAGAAAGAACGTTATTAGCCTTCTCTAACTCTTATATTCCCTAAGTAAATATTTCTTTATACTACTCCTTAATTAACTTTTAAGTTATAAAAATATAACCTAGAAAACTAGCTATATTAGCTCCCTTTAATTATACCTAAATAAGCTTCTTATAAAGTACTAATAGAGTATTACTTACTTACTTCTCTTTTTTCTCCTACTCTTAATACTAATTACTAAGACGCTTTACTATAATAAATTAGAAAAAGCCTATAAAAATATAATCTAACTTATAGCTTAATATAATAATTAGCTAGTTATAAGGATGCTTTACCTAAAAATAATAAGTATAAAGTATAACGTTAAAAGAACTAAAACGCTTAAAGATATCTTTACTATCTATTTAATTTATAGATATATTATTTATCTCTAATAGCTAAGCTATCTAATATAAATAAATTATTTAGGACTTATATATAGAATAGACTTAAGTCTACTTAAGAATAGATTTTTATAGCTCTTTAGTACTTAAATTTATAATTACTCTTATTAATATTTTTAGCTATACCTAAGTAATAATTACTCTATAACTCTTATTAAGGACTTAACTAATTACTAAGCCCTTTAAAGACCTATAATTACTTAATTAGACCTATAGAATAACTATTTACTATTTTTAGTTCTTAATCCCTAACTTACTACTAATATAAACCTATTATTAGTTAGTTAGCTATAATATTAAGCTGTCTAAGTATGTTTATTAGAGTAATTATTTTACTCTAAGCGACCTAACTTATACTTAACTAGGTATATAAATAAGGTTAGTAAATAGATTCTTATATAAAGAGTATATATAGCTATTATATAAATATAGAGTTTTTTTCCCTATAGCTATTTATTTATTATACTTATTAATATAGATGTAATATCTCTTATTAGTCTAACTGCTATTTAATAGAACTTATCTAAACTAAACTTCTCTCCTATATATTACCCCGCTAGTACTCACTATTAGTGCTGTGCTGGGCCCTATATAAAAACACTAATAGTATTAATACGGCATCTCTACTCTTAGTTCTCCCGCCTGTGATAGCCTCACGGCTAGCTATAGCTATAGTGTGGACCTCTAATAGCTCTTTATCCTCTATGTAAAGCTTCTCATAAAACTATAAATCCCCCTCCTCCCTCCTCTCTACCCCTACGACCGCGTGGCCTTACCTTCCCCCTATCCGGCCATCGGGAAGGGGGACACATTCAGCTACTGCTGGTCTCTAATAAGCCTGGGAGAGATGAGCCCTCTAAGACGAAGCCCTTGACATCCTCGCGCAAGCAATCGATGCCTCATTAAAACAGCACTAGTCTGGCTGAAGCCTACGGCCCAGGGCCTGATCGACTCCTTCACCCATTTTATAGCTGTTGAATGATCGGGGCCCACTCCAATACCGGAAACGGCCGCTACTGCCTCCGTCCCCGGCCCTACCTTTGGCCCTATCTCCGGGTCATGCAGCGCTTACTGGAATCTATCCAGCGCTAAATTTTAGTCTAAAGGAAGCAAGATTCTAGAATCAAAAAGTATTATACGCCTAATTATCTCTCTAAATTAAAACATGTGACATAATGCTTAGGTGGTCGCTATGTAAGTAGCTAATAAGATTAATTGTTACGATTGGAGGAAGTAGGGAAAGAAAATTAAAAAATTAAAAAGGGGTAATGAGGTGATGGTGGCGGCGTGTGTGACTAAAAGAGGGGGAAGGGCGTGTCGCAGGAAAAAGCAGGACTGACCGTTGCTGAACGGAGCCAAAAGAAGAATACAGTGCTAGCCCAATTTGGAACGTATTAAGGTTATTCCATCTAAATGCTGGCTTTTGGACGTTCATCATCCATTGGCCCTAGTAACATGCTTCAACCTAGAGACGATGGCTACCCATTGGTAAGAGTAGTGAGGGCCGGATTAGTAGTTGGGTCGGTGACGACCAGCGAATACCTAGTGTTGTATGTTTTTTGCCAGGTCCACATCTGACTAGTGGGTCACAATAGTTCCATTTTGCCGCCTGCAACTCGAACATGTGTTCATCATGGTGGGCGTATTTGAGAAAAATCTTGGTTATATAAGCATAAGCTTAGAAAACGCATGAGCTGTCTACTGGACTGAAGTGTAGATCGGAGGATTCTGCCTTCGGGCTTCCAAACTTCATGAATCCGCCAATATGAGAGACTGGGGAGTTGGCAAGCAGTCAGTCCCAGATTGAACAAGCTCTCCAGCATATCGTTGCGGCTGGTGTCTTCTATAGCCATGCGTGTACTGTGCCTCCAGAAGTTGGTCTTTGACCGCAATGGCCGCAATCATTCTTTGTAAATGTCAAGCCCACATGTCGAGAACGAATGGACAAAGAAGTCTCGGTATACATGTTACGAGACGTTATACCACATAAGCCACCAACTCAGACCAACAAACAAAGTATGCGCTATCGAGTGTTTTTCGTGTAGCCGGTGCGACGCAAGACGCAGCGGTTACGCAAAAAAGACAGCAACCTTGATATGTCTCTTGAAACCCACCTCAGCATCAACATCAACCTTCTCATCATCAACGGTAACCTTCTTCCTCCTCGCCCACACCTGTTCCGGAATCCTCACCCGGCCGTCTAACCCAACGGAGCCCAAGCCTCCAACAACCAACCACCTTCAAACGCCTGCCACTTCACCACGATACCCTCGCCCACGGACGTCGGAACCCTGCCCTGAGCCCACTTCAGCCCGTTGATATCAGACCTGGGCCAGATCCTGAACTCTTTGAATCCAGGGGTGATCGGCTCTACGCCCAGAGCATACTGCGACAGGATCGACGTCGGCCCTGCGCCGAACAGCTGTGCGTAAGAGCAGAAGTCGCCCTTGAACGGCGTGCCGTCGGGGTTGATGAACTCCCATGTCGTACCGGTGAAGTGCTCGCTCGACTTGTCCGCCATGGGGCCGAAGACGCTGCGGAGCACACGCTCGCCTTCGACGGGTCGACCTGCTTGAAACGCGGCTTGGATGTGGAACGCTGACATTATGGGCGAGATGACCGGTGGCGGGCCGGGGGTGTCGGGGCTGAAGGACAAGGGGGCTTCGTTGATTTTCGATGAAACCACGAGAGAGCGGAACTTATCGAGGATGACGGGTGTTTGTTCCGGTGTGCAGATATTCTGCAGAATGAGCCAGGCATGCATTTCTTGCTGAAAGCCCTCGGTGCGAGAATCTGTGATGTTGTAGCGCCCTGACTCTGCATTGAAACAATGCTTCCGAATCGCCTCTGTCACGCTCTTCGCTGATATCAAGTAGGCGTCCGCCGCCGCTTGCTCAGAAATGGCTGGTGACGACGCGATATGCGCGCATGCCTTGAGGGAGGCAACGAAGAGGGCGTTGCGCTTGGTAGAAATGCCCGTCTGGAGACCGTTGTAGTAGTCGTAGTCTCCTGCGTCGAAACCCTCGGCACACACAAGACCGGTTTCGTCTACACGTGCTGCGATATAGGCGAGGCAACCCTTGAGCTTGTCCCAACAGAACTTGATCAGTGCATCGTCTCCTGTGTAGACCCAGTAGTCGTAAATGACTAGGATCAGGTAGAGCGAGTAGTTAATGGTCTCGATGTTAAAGAACCCGTCGGTCAGGTCTCTAGTGAAGTCTCGACCAGGAGGCACACCTCCTGGCAACAGACCACGTCCCTTATCGTCACCCTTGAATCTCAGCATGGACGCAACGATATTCCCACGTATGTACTCGGATCCCGCCGTTGAGTAGTATGCTGATCGCCCGCCAACGATAATGTCGGCTGTCCAGGGGTATCGATCACGCTTGGCGCCGTCGAAGACGAACGGAAACTGGTTTGTCTTTAAACCGAAGTCTCCAAGTACAGCTTGGGTGTTGAGGCCGGACTCGTACAGTACTTTTTGATCAGGGCTGCGAACGATGAGGTTCCTGAACCGGCAGACTTGATCTTGCCCAGCTCCAATTGCCACTGAGCCCTTGGCAAAGTATGGGAAGTCGGCTTCGTCGGGCGAAACGGCGAGACTTGCGAAGCCCTCTGTATTCATGTTAGCAGGTCTGGTTAAGGAGGTTCCGAGGGAGCAACGCATACCGTTCTTGAGACCTCCCTGCTTGAACGTCGCGACTTGCGTGCCGTCGATGCAGATCGACACGGGTGCATCACCTATGCAACTTGTACCGACACGAAGCCATTTCCCTTTGAGTATTTCGAGGTTGGATATGTCGGCGGATGCAATGAACTTCGGGACCAAAGTCGTCTGAGGTTTGTTGTAGTAGCCGTACCATTGCTCAATGACCGCCTTGCCGTTTTCGATATTCAATTGGAATAGCATGCCCGGCATACCAGGAGATACGCGGACCATCCAAGCCAGCCCTCCCTCAAGAACCATACCGTCAAACTCCAGATCGTAGTCTGTCCATAGATGGCCCCATCCATAGGCGTTACATCTTTGAGAGTCGATCAGAACTCCCATGTCCTGAGAAATTTCCCATGGTGAGGGAATAGACCGCGCCGGCACGCAGTTCAACTGCAAAGTCCTGGCCCCGTACCCCCAAAGTTCAGACAAGGTCTCATCGGAACACTGGAAATATCCGGGAAGCCTGTCGACGGGGACGTTCGAAGTTGTGGGCACAAAGCCAGCCAGAGAGACACGAACCGAGCAGGGCCCCTTCGTTACAAGCGAGAGCTTCAGCCAGCGCTGGCTGCCCTGCACGCACTTGGCCTCGTAGAAGCCCGAGCCGTTTACTCGGAAGCGGACGCGGCGAGAGGTATCTGCACCAGCCGAAAAGGGATATGGGCCGTCACCCTCAGGCTTGGTGATGCCCGGAAAACCCTCTGAGACTGTGAAGTCGATTACTGCCTTGCCGGACGGTGTGTCTAGACCACGGACCTTCAGGACTGGGATGCCAGCTACGGCAACGCCGTAATCGAGGATAATGTTGCTGGACTCTTCCGAAGTATTGATGAGGGTAGCATAACTCTGAAGACTGGCCGTTGTCAAATGTTCTGGGGACGTGACACTGGTACAGTTGTGTACTCTGCGTGGAATCAGAAACTCAGGCGTCTCGTCTTTCGCAAACAGGTAGCTTGCCGAGACCGGCTCCGGGATGGCGGAAGGGATGTCGAATTCCAATTTCAACATTTCTGAATAGAATTGTCCAGTTTCTTGTTGATAGTATGCGAACTAATTTAGCCTCCGACGAGGACCTGTCGTGGGTTGATATTGAACGCCATCCGTAGGCTCCTCCGTGGGAATCGGCAGACCATCGTCGGCTAGGTAAGTTAAGACGGTGCTTGACTTTACCACTTCGGACGACCGAGAAAGAGACCCGAGTGTTTGAAACTGCCTCTTATGGAAGCGTGTCGTCCAGACTTGGGTCCGTCAACCAGTCCGCTCAGGAACCAAGCTTCTTGAGGCTCGTCGGAACAAACATGGAATGGGCCAGTCCTCGTGGCTTGCTTCACGTCGAAAACAGCCGACACCGCTGGTCTGGATGGGGTAATAACGGGGAAACCACGGTGCAAAGCCTCAGAGAATGTCGTCAGACACGAAATGGCCTTGGTCATGAGGTTGTCGAAGTTCGTCCTGAGTCGTCAATTGCAAGTTCGTCGACTCTCGACTCCACTGTCCTCCATCGCAACCCCGCAGAAATTCTCCATAGTGTCACCCAAAGTTCCCCAATCCCTCGAATTTTCAGTGTGTCTTTGGATTGGCCCCCGTTCGTGGGGCTGAGACTCCGTAAATCCCCCGTGGAGAAATTTCCCTGTCCTCCACTGCAGAAATGGCAGCCCTCGCCTTTTCGGAATGCTCGTCGCGTGTTGACGTATCGCATTGCTACGTACCCGAGAATCTGGCTAGAAACCCCCGCTGTCATGGTTCCTTTCCTGTTCCACGGCAGATGATTCTGGCTTCCCCAGGCCGGACAACGTGAATCCCCAGTTCAGTAACACGAACCCCCCGGCTCCCCGCAAATGCCAAATGCAGTCACGGTACGCGCCCATGTCTTCTCCAGATGTGTCAAGTGGCTCCGTTTTCTGGAGTCCCCAGGTTAAAGCACATCTAATTATCGGGAGCTTGGATAAAGCCTGTGGCACCACTCCGGCCATTCGATCGGGAGCTGGTCTCCGGGGACCGTATATAAAGGCTTGGGGACAACCCCTTTCAAGATAACATGGCTCCATGACACCCTGTGGATATTTCACCGAGGGTTATCTCTGCAACTAGCAACTATCTGCAATGGCGTCAACAACCGACAATGTGGCCTCCAAGAAGGAGCTTCATGCCCCTCAGCATGTTGAGGCCCCCACAAACCTCGACCTCGAAGCGGTAGCCAACCGTCAGGATGAGCAGATAACCTTTCAGTACGTGTGGGAGAATAAAAGAGTCCTAGGGTGGTGTAAGTGAATGGAACCCATAAACCAAACGGTATTGGTCGCTCACTGTCTCCTGTAGGCCTCTTGATCTTCCTCTTACCAGTGAACTTCGGCTACGAGAGCAGTACAGTCGGCAACCTGCTAGCTGTCACGCCATTCCTCGAGGAGTTCGGTCAGCAGGTGAACGGCGAGTGGGTTGTCAGCGCTCGAGACCAACAGATCCTCAATGCCGCGACGACAATCGGCCTGTTCGTGTCTGCGTTCGCCACCGGTTTTATCTCGGATAGATTGGGTCGCAAGAAGACCATCATTGGCGCTTGCATTCTCTGCGTCGCCGGCGTTATTGCCCAGTACTTCAGTCAGACCGTCATGCAGATTTTTGGAGGAAAGATTGTGGCCTGTTTCGGCTTCGGCTTGGGTCACTCGCTTGGTCCCGTTTTCGTTGCAGAACTTGCGCCGGTTAGAATGCGCGGAATTTGCTTGGCGCTGGTGGTATGTCGTCCTTGAACTCCTCTCCTGAACCGTGAAGCTGACGGCACGGAGAACACCATGATCGTGATAGGCCAATGGCTCAACTCACTCGCTGTGTTCGCGAGCGACAAGACCCACTCCGATAGTCTCGCCTGGCGCATCCCAATCATCACACAAATCATTCCGCCCGGCCTCCTGCTGTTGGGTCTTGCCTTCCTGCCGGAATCGCCCTCGTGGCTCATTATGCACGGCAGACACGAGGAAGCCGCCGAGTCTTTCCGTCGCTTCAACGGCCCTAAGTTCGACGTCGATGAAGCCATGACCATCATGACTGTTGCTGTGGCGAAGGAACAGGAGCTCACCAAGGAGTCCGGATCGTGGCTCCAATGCTTCAAGGGCTCCGACGGTCGTCGAACTCTCATCATTTGCATGGTGTACATCTCGCAGCAGTTCATCGGTGTGAACTTCATTAGTGGCTACCTCACGTTAGTCAATCGCTCTGGAATTGCGCAACATTAGTCGCTGACTTACAGCCAGATACTACTTCCGCCTTGCCGGCGTCCAGAACCCCATCGGAGTCGCCCAGGCCGCCTTTGCGGTGCAGCTATTCGGGAACATGTGCTCTTGGCCGCTCATCGATCGTCTTGGACGTCGTCCTATGATCGTCGGTGGCTGCTTCGTCATGACTGCTGCACTGCTTGTCATCGGAGGCATCAGCACTTTGGAGAACAATCAAAAGGCCTTGATGGCTACCGTCAGTTTGATGACAATCTGGGGATTCTTGGTAAGGCCCAAACGAACCTGTTACGTGCGATGTGATGCTAATCGCGCCTTAGTACCAAATGACACTGGGCGCCACGTCCTACAGTGTCGGAGGAGAAACGCCGAGTAATCAACTTCGCCAGAAGACCTACAGCATCAACATCATGTCAGCAACGGCTGTCTCTTGCATGACTCTTCAGGTCATGCCGTACTTGCTGAATCCGGATCAAGCGAATATGGGAGGTAAAATTTGCTTCGTCTTTTTTGGTCTCTCGGTGCCCATGTGTGCGTACCTTTACTTCTGCCTTCCGGAGATGAAGGGTCGTAATTACCTGGAACTGCAGGAGATGTTCCAGAAGGGTGTCCCGGCACGTCAATTCAAGAGTTACAAGTGCGACTGCACGCTTGATGTGCCTGAGAGCAAGGTCATCGACCGAGAAGAGTAGGTAGAGAAATAATGCCGTTGGGATGAAAGGCCGAGTACGATTACCCGGACGGTTATAGCAGCTAAGGCATCTATTTGCCTAAGGAATTTTCACATACAGATTCATTGATGCCCCAGGTACCCAAGAGGAAGGAACCCGTCCTAGGGCAGCTTCCTTCCCCCAGTGAGCGACCCATCCTCTTTGTTTCGAAAAGTGTGGTCAATATTTCACCAACAGTCCATGGTCGAGCGGGATAACTAGGCGTCATATTGACGAGTTGTGCTGAACGTCCCGTCCCATGGGTGCGTGAGTTCGAGTCTCACCGCCGTTAGCAAAATCCTAGCATCGTTACACCTGAGGCTGGTAAGAGTCTCCTAGGATTTTCATAGGTCCTCTGGACTGAACTTTTTGATGTTTTATCTCTATTTTATTTTTTGCATGTTCTTTTTTTTCCAGTGGCAATGACGGTATTCTGTCTCTTATTTTGAAGTTCTGGTGCGAAGTTTGTCGTGACATCGCGGAGAAGCAGTGAATTAAGACTAGGTGTGAACCTAAGACGACCCGACAAGCTGGTACACTACTTTAGCTTCCACGAACTGAGACCCCGCTTTCAAGGGGGTGGCCAGGATGAGCTCGCGTCCGCGGTGCACTTCGTCGAGGTTGCGCAAGGGTGATTAGTGCCTCGTTCCTTTTACCCTGTGTCCTCATTCTCTAGCTGGTAGCAAGACCGATTCGTTGTCCTCGTTGTATGCACCCATAGATCGATTCATGATGACCCGGCGATTCGGAAGAGGTCAGTCCCCTGGTCTTCAAAGTGTGCCGCTTCCGCGGGACCACCACTTTCTTCGGTGAGCGATTGCATGCCATAGCGGCACCATCGCTTGTGTTTGCCTTGTGGCTACTCCGTTAGCATGGAACAGGTAGGCATCTAGTGTTGTTGTCGACAAGGCAGACGAGTCAGTAGCTTTCACCTTGTTTACTGTTCTACGTGGAAGATCCTACCAAAACAGAACGCGCCTGGGGAGCGGAGAATCATGCGATGATTACGTCTGGACGAGGACTTTACGTACGAACCCTGGAATCTGGATGCTGAGGAATCTCCGACCTGTCATGGGACCCTGGGTCCAAGACAGCGGAGGTGAGTCTTCGTGAGGTATAGCTCCCGTTGAACGTTTGGACTGTCAGCGCTAAAACCTTGGATAAATCCGGGGAGGTGGTGTTCGGTGTCCCAATGTGATGGTTGTGGGTTGGATCGTAAGCTCACCAATACGATGACTGGGAATCGGCCAGGCGCCTATCTTTCGTGATGGAATCTTTTGAAACATCTAGATTAAAAACGCGTTGGTCGCAGTCACCCTTGAAAGGCCCGAATACTTGGTTGTGCTGCAGTGGTCCCAAGTTGTTGGATAGCTGGGGTCCTCGTTTGGGAAGCTAGTAAGGTGGCAGGGTTGATATATGCCGGCAACCGATTTCATATGAGAAGACCAGCCGAGAGAGGGCCAAGAACCTCCTTCTTCCTGTTGTGCCTGTCTAATCTTGGAAGCTTCCGGCTGGCAAGAGGTGACGTGATCGGAACCTCGCAACCAGGTTTGTGGTATGGCAAGTAGCCAGAACGAGAAAGTCGTATACTCCGGCTCATTGCTGACGTCGAGAAACTGTCTGAGGCCACTTCGGCTTCAAAGCACTAATTGATCGAAACCAAGCGCACAAACGATTCAGCGTGGCCGAGGGTGCTCTCGGGCATGAAAGACACCAAGACAGCGGTGTTGAAGATGCAGAGTAGCATTGACCAAGTCCCTGGTCGCTTGGGATCTCAGAGAAATCCATCGTTCTCAGGTGATAGAGACATCCCGGACACCAGAAATTGCGGTGAGGGACAAACCGTCTTCAAAAGGTTTGGAGGTGATCTTGGAATTAGGAGGAGACGCTGGGCCTGTCTGGGTTAGCAAGTCCGCAAAGGAACCCGCCCCGGGATCGCACATCGCCGCCTGCCGGACTCTCCATTCTCGAGCCCGAGTGAGTGAACACGGAAGAACTGCTCGCATGTGAAGGCTAGGTATCATCGTCTTTGTCGTTGTCCTCGCACATTGAGGAGAGTAACGGTAGAAGATTTGAGATTTGGTGTGTTGACATGACAGTTCTAGGTTGCAAACCCAGAAGTTCCGATAGCTCGCTACTGAACAAGTGGGGCATTCCGTTTCAGTGGCCGCCTGTAGCACAGGCCTTTTGCCCAGGGCAGCGGTACCAAACCCACCTTGGCGCCCGCGAACGCCGGGAGGAGGGTCTAGGGGGTTCCTTGAGGGTCCGAAACTCAATTGAACGTCTCTTGATCTTCTCCCAACTACACCACTCCCAAACCTCCTCAACACCACAAAATCCAGCCCGGGTGAGGCATTTATCCTCCATCGATGCGCCTCTCTCCTGCATCAATTGATTGGGACAATAACGGCTCTGACAAGTATCATGATCTGTGTCAGGGGCCAGAGTACCATCGCCCCAGTTATCGGCTGACCATGCGTGCAACACCCTGAAGATACGCCGTGGCTAAGGATCATGTCGATTGCCACTCTTGAGCTGCATGGTCGGCCATGAGCCTTACCTTACGATCACCACGGAAACGGAAACGGGCACGGGAATTGGCTCATTTGTCCAGCCATTGTTCCGCTCAGAGAGTGGCCAACTTCCACTTCATGAACGTCCAATGCTGCGGCACATCCAGCCTTAGCCTGACAGGAAAGATGCGACGCCCAGTTGTACGCGGTGTGTCGTATTGGGTATTGGCCAAGTTGTCGCCGAAGAGAGAGCGATGGACTGGGGTAAGAGCGGGGAGCATCCTACTGTCAACCTTCTTTGTGTACTGCTTGGGGGCCGAGACTGGACAGATCCCTTCCGTTTCTGGCATCGAAACTCTCCAGAGCCGCTGCTTTTTTTTTCGCGAATTTTCTCTTGCATATCACATTGCAGCTCATCACACATTGCTGACCCTTCATTCGCAGAAGACCGAACCACGAAACAAGGAACGACCTCGGTCCAAACTGTGGCTGAGTGCCTTCCTTTCCGCCTCTACCTATGCAGGGCAATGATAGAGACCTATGGGAGCGTCGGCGAACCACATGAAAGCACCAGCCACATCATTTCATGATCCTATTCGTGGTTTAGCCCGATTCCATCCATCATGCTGTGAGGTTGAGGCCACCAGCCACACTTCTCCCCCAGGTCTCACCGACACTCCGCAGTCCCTCCGCAACTACAGCCGTTGACAGGTTTCCATTTCGTAGAACGGACATTTACACGATCCCATTGAGTCTTTCTGCCATGGCCTAGCGCCTCGGCGACCTCCAAAGAGCAAGCAGCATGGACAGCTTGAGATACCATTCCCCAACAGCATTGTGGCTGATGCTATGCATCTTGACTGAGGTTGGCGGCTGCCTCACCGGCTTCAACAAGCGTCTTCCCCGGCTGTCACGCGCAAAATTCAAAGCACAGTTGCTTGGGATCGATTGAAGCCCTCGACGGGAAATGAAGAGAGCGCAATGTGGTTAGACGGCGGAGACGATACCAAGATAGGCTTGGTTGACCTCCTGACCAGCCGTAGACCGGGTTTTTGGGTCGCTGGGTAGGGCTTTGCGGCCCGCAGCCTTAAGGACAAGATCCCGGTGTGGTCCCGCACTGTCAAGGGGACCATGAGACCATTCCTGCTCAGGGGCGAACTCCTGGTCGGCCGCAAAGGCAGAGGACGGCCATGTCTAGGTGCGGACAACTGCGAATCGGGCGACCCAAATCTCTACTCTACGCTCCCACCCTCAAGTTCACCTGCCGAACGTGGCTCTTCGGAAGTTGTTGAACGGTTATGCTATATCACTTCCGTCTGCCTTGTTTGAATACCACACTTTCACCGCTGTCAGCCGCAGGAAGCTCCAACACAAATGCTATGACCGCTCTTTGTATAAGACTATCAAGCTTCCGTTACCTTCCCAAACATCCTGAGAATATCCGTCTCAAGTCCTTCAATGAGTTTCTCGTTCGCGATCTATCTGCCCTCGCCTGTTCCTCGTCTCATGAATCCAAGATGTCTCCGTCTGAGCCTAGACCATCTGATGGAAGGTGAGTTCTCTTCCCATTTCCGCTGCCCAGATGATTCCCTTTACTTGAGTTATCGTACGTGCTAACTCATATACAAAACAGCTCCACCCCCTCTGCTCGAGATGATCCTCTCGCCGCTCGGATTCCCAGCCAGTCTCAACTCGCCCGGTTTCAACAGGAAGCCCAGAGAGATGGCAACACATTAGTCGGTCTCTCCCACGGCTCTAGGGATGTGAAGTCGGTCATCCGATACCACAAATCTCGCGCCTCCCAAGCAATCAAACTCTTCCATGAAAAGTTTGGCAAACAGACCGCGCAAGTGCCCTCGGACGCTGTCCAGGAGGGTAGTCACGAGTCCAATTCGACTTCGGGGAGCGACACTTTCGGGCCGTCAAGTTGAAGACGCCGTCATACTGTTGGTTTCTTCCGGGTCGACCATGTCGGATTGTTTCAAGGGACCATGTGTAAGTAAGGAAAGTGTACGATAAGACTTTTCAAGGGATAGGAGGCGCACACATGGGGGAATACCATTGAGGAACTTTACGAGGAAGTGAAGTGTATCGCGAATCTGGTCGTTGTCGAAACACGAAACCCCACCGATTCTACGTTCTGACAGGTTGAAGGTTTTCTACCAAGCCACTCGCTAGAAACAGATCCCAAGAAACTGAGTTATGCTATGTTTACAATACCCAAAAACAATGAAATGGAGTATTCTCAGGGTCAAGGCGGCTCCAATTGCTCAAGTTCGTGATCAATCACCGTTGTCTAGAGTTGTTGAACGCGTTGGTATCAGGCTCTCACCCTCGGGCATAACAACGCAGGGGTCCCCTCAACTTGGCGCCAGTGTGCTGCTCCCAAATAATACCCATGTAGCCCGGAAAGGTCTGAAGATGAACCCGGCGAGAGCATGCATATGCGGACGTGGGTTGATAGCAGCGGCACAGCCCAATCAAGATGATGAAAACCACAGGTTGCGGAACCAACGAGTGCAACGGCGGGGGAAAGAGAGCAAACGTGAGTGGGGTTCAAGAAGACATCCAACACGGGTCTCGTCTCCTTCGGGAAGGACACAAAACCAAGTTCTCCCGCCCATTTCCCATTTCCCCTCTCTCTGCTCATTCCTCCCTTAACAAATAAAGTTGGCAAGAGAAGGCTTGACAACATGAGTGCTCCCGAGTCAACAGCGCAGCAGACTGTCGAGGTGATTGCAGTCAAGTCAGTGAATTGATCAGACTTGGATTAACACGGCTCAGGACCCTCGGACAGACGACGACGCCTCCTCCATAGGAGGTTCCGTGAGTTGATGTGAAGCTTCGCCGAAGGCCTAGCTCTGACAGTTCGCAGTCCGTCAACGATTCTCTGGACTCATTGCGATCTAGTATCTTAGATTACCGAAGAGAAAATGGCCGTACCTATCACAAACTTAGCGACGGGAGTAAGTAACATATTCATTCTGATGTTTGTGAGGATCGCCAGAAGCTAATATTCCTCCGTGCCAGAATACGTGCTTCCTAATGACGAGGTACGAACTCTTGCCCCTAGAAGCTCTTTCAGCTTCAAGTCAAATCTAATCTGTGCACTTGAAGAAAGAGCAAGACCGTCTCGGTGGGTCAACAGGGCGCCAAGTTGCCATCTGACAATGATTTTCGTCTGACACGTTACTAGATATTACTCACCATCTATGGATGTTGACTTGGGATAACGATCTTTGCCTTTCCCCGAAGAAGAACGGCGCCAAGAGAGTCCTTGATGTCGGTACTGGAACCGGTATCTGGGCTTTGGAGTACGGTGAGCATGCCGAGACGTTACAGCCAGTTTCAATTGTGTTCCGTTTTGCGGCATTACTGACTTCATAAATTCAGCGGATGAGCATCCAGAAGCAATAGTTAGTCAACCACCTTATTACTGATCACAAGAGGTGCATAATTAACGAACACTCAGGTACTGGGTGTTGATCTCAGCCCCATACAGCCCGGCTTGTTAGTCTTTAACTGCCTCAATGTATATGCAGTTATAACTGACTGGATTAGCGTGCCCCCTAACTGCCGTTTCGAGGTTGATGACGTTGAAAAGGAATGGACCTGGTCAACTCCCTTTGACTTCGTCTTCATCAGAAACATGATTGCGAGTTTCTCTGACTGGGAGGACATCGTCCGCAAAGCCTATGAGTGAGAACTTATTCCTCCCACCAGTGAAAAGGGGATTGCAACCTACCGACACTGACAACTCATCTGGCAGGAACCTTGAGCCGGGCGGCTATCTGGAACTTCAGGACAACACATTCCCACTCAAGTGTGACGATGACACTATGCCTGATGACTGGAAGCCCTTGGAGTGGACCAAACTCCTCATCGAGGGCACGGACAAGATGGGTCGTCCGATCACGGTAGCTAGTCGCTTCGAGCAAATGCTCAAAGACGCGGGGTTCGAAGCAGTCGAAGCCAAGAAAACGAGGTGGCCAGTCAATCCGTGGCCTCAGGATAAGAAGGCGAAGGAGCTTGGGTCATGGGCGGAGCATTCGGCGATGTTCGGAATCGAAGCGGTCTCGATGAGCTTGTTTACTCGTGTGCTTGATTGGAGCGTTGAGGAGACGACCGTTTTGTGCGCTGAGGTACGAAACGAGTGCAAGAAGATTGGACCTCACGCGTACTACGACGTGTAAGTGCCAGCCCAGAGATTGCCTCGGACGAGACGAAGAAACTGACGGTCGTTAGGTACGCTGCGTGGGGCCGCAAGCCGGAGAAGGAGGGTTCAGAAGCACCCCAAGCTTGATCCCACCTCTCCCTGATACTGGATATACACTCCAGAAGAAATGGCGCATTGGTACAGCTCTTGTCTTCGAGACAACACCGTTTCTCGAGTAACTACAGACAGAAAAGCAATGGAGCTGAACGATTCTTTTGACTTCATGTAATGAGAGAGCCAACGATAAGTATAAACAATGTCATATTTATGTCTCCGCGCCACACCCTCAGATCATGTTCTCGATGGATGCTTTCAGAGAGAATTCAGTTCAGGTGCTTGTTGGAATAACATCCCAGAGAATAAACCACCAACAAACAAGCCATGCAATGCAGCAACAACACCTCTTTAGCAGAACGTATGAACAGCCAGACGGTTCAAATCCTTATTTGAATGGAGACATCAGCACACATAGTTGGATTCTGACGACGCGTGAAGTTTTGATAAGGTGGATGGGTCTCGGTCGCTAGGTCGAAACTCGTGACACCCTTTCCCAGTTCCATTACTTGACTGCTTGTGCAGTGCCTTGTCCAAACCCTTTTCCTACATGATCTATTAAATTTGTACCATGAAAGCGGATGCTTATTGCAGAGGCAACACGCAAGCACGAAATCCCACTGCGGAGAGCGGTAGGATTTTGGCGTTAAAAGACCAGACCACTTCATAGCTAGCGTAAACAAGGGCAGACCAGCTGGAAGAACAGAATGAACCCAAACAGAGAAAATAGACTAGAAAATGCGTTCCTAGGTGTCCAAATACACGATTGAGTCGGGACACATATTCGGAGAAGGGCACTGAACGTGGGGTAAGGCAACATAAGGAAGCCAGGAACTCGGACCGCAGCATATGGTGGACTGCAACGCGACTGTAAAGGGCCTGAAACATCGATGGAAAAGTAATCAGGCTGGGGCGGACGACAAGTTATGGTTTTGCAAGGCAACCTAGGAAGAACAACATTGTATGAATTCAATGTGAGGCATGTGTGGAGAATGATCAAGCTGTGGCGAACCGTCGGCAGATCGCAAGGCAACCAGAAAAGTATTGCTAACAGCATTGAATTTGAAGATAGGTTATGTGTAAGAAATAAGATGGCGGACCAGAGTTCCTCTGCTTAAGGTATGAGGCAACGGGCTGGACTGGGCTGATCGAAAACCACACAATACAAGTTATCATGATCTTGAACATCATATTAATATCAGTAAGGAGTCCCCGTCTCATGGTACAATATGTAATGCATATCATCGCTGCTGTTTTTGAACAGTGGTGCTTCTTCTGAATCTGAACTGTTCTGATTAGTGCTGGGACCTTTGTGATCATATTGTGAAGTGATGGATGCGATCTCTGATGGAGCCATCGTCTATGGGTACGATCTTCGGACATTTTCTGCATGGTTCTCATTCTCATCATCTTGAATCCACGCACATTCTTTTTTTTAGAAGCTGACTTCGATAATCAATAGGAAGCAGAAAAACAACGATACTACGATCAAGAAGATTGATTCTATGCTACTCCGTACCCAACGACTCCAATCTTTCGTCAACGATACCGAAGAACCCATCATACTTCTGAGTTCCACATCGTCACTCGTCGTCAGATCCAACATCAGACGCCGTTCAGAGGCATCTCAAAAGATTGACGACGCTCTGTCGAAGGGCTGGCCTCGGACGGCTTGATACATCCCGTATAAGCTAGCTTTGCACCATGGCGATTTTGCGGTACGTGTGAAGCCTTCCTATTATGCAGACTTGGACTGACTTGCTCTTCAAGCAATGATTTCATACTGGGAAGCCAGCCTTTCTATTCCTTCACGGACTTAAGCACACAAACGCAACAGAAATAATCATTTTCTCCGTTAACGCCGTACCGGAGTTGAGCGCCCCACCCGGAACGGACTTGTCTGAACCTTACTCCGGACCGGGGCCGAGATACCAATCGTGCGGAATGCAGATCGGTCACGTATTACCTTTCTTTCACCCTGTGCATCAACAAAAGAGGTTACGTGCAGGTGCTGCAGGGATAGGGAGTCTCGCAGGGTGGTGGAAGTATCCGTCACTTGGGACGGTTGCAGCATTCCATGCAAGATGATTGGCTACAAGCTTCAAATAACTGCAGAGCCTGTCAAGATCAGCTCCCGCCCAACATTGCCGTGAGCAGCGGGTAACAGAAAGGCTTTCACGATATCCAATTGACTACACATCAAAGCTAACTTCAAAGTCTAAAAAACGATTTGCAATCATTGCACATCTTGAGACCGAGCAAGCAGTAGGCTTTATCAGATCCCAGCGAGCAATAGACATTTGTCCACGTGCAAAAGTTTGACGAGTAGTTGGTGTCTGATGGTTCAAAATGAAGTATGCGAAAGGGAAGTCTCATCGACATGACGCAGTGATTGTAGTCCAGGTCTCACTGAAGTCTTCACATCGCATGAGTTCCATGGCTACCGAGATAATATTTCAACATAATCTGAAAACAAAGGCGCATTTCGCTGTGATTTATTATAATAAGGAAAAAGTCAATTTTTTGCCGTTCACCTCAGCTTGAGTTCACAATTAGGGCTGAAATACCAGAAATCAAGGCGAGTTAGCACCTCACTGTTCCACTTGACACCTCACTATTACACTGCTTTCACTTCTTGCTGTTATAATGGTTATTTAACCAATCCCGAGGACTGCGAACCTATCATTCCGGGCTTGTCGAAAGCTGATTGGGGCTAACTTGGAAAGCCGCGTCTCATGGTAATTACTGCGTGACATCAACTCTCCATCTTCCGCAAATGCCCATGCGATCTCGAGTTCAGCCTTTTGCTGACGAAGATTATGCTCGAAGCAGGTTATTCTCGGATTGGCAAATGCAAAGTAGTTGTCCTCTTAGCACGATATCTTTCTTTTAGTGTCATCTAAAGGCGTTAGTATTGCTTGCTGAGCCTAATTCTTAGCCCCAATTTTTTTTTCCAGCTTTCACTCTTGCTTTGCACTGGCGTTCATCCTCCATACCTATCTTCGTTCCGACTCCTCGTATATGTATATGAATCTCAATCGTTTCGAGCGTATCGACAAGTATCGTTGGGCTGCGACTCGTGGCACTTGGGTGAGTGGGTGGGTGCTTTGAGGTTGTGAAATCGAGCCCGAATGCAAAGAGAATGGGCGACTTGAATTTTCAATTCACAGATCGATTGGGGCTGTGCTGTGTGTTGGTTCCTATCCTTGGATTTATGGACCATAGGCATGGCGGCGGCTCGCTGTTGATTGGCATTTCCAACGAGGCAACGCATGAAGTTTAGAAGATCTGATTAAAAATCGAATCGAGAGGCGACAGACAGGTAATTTCATCGACTGCTGATGAAGATAACATCTCTCTTCTAAACAGCATGTGACTAGCGCTGGGTAAATTGAATATGAGACCTACCGCTGCGGAACGCTGGCGGCTGCGTGCGACCCTCTGAATTGTGTTCTAGGCGAACCATCTCCATTGAGGCGGACTACCGGGCGAACCAAAGCAGAACTGTCTCTGAGACAAGCTGACGCGTCAATCTGCACTTTTTGAAGAGGTCGCGCTGAACTTTCAAGGAGAAGGACGCCCTTTGGAGAGGGGTAATGGGCGGTGAGAGAGTTCCGCGGCACAGCCTAAGAGGCAGCAGGTTCCAGCCCTTCAGGCGACTGATGCCTCTCCTGAGAGGCTGTTTCTCGCTTCATTTACTCACTGCATGCCTAAAATTTGCTCTTCGTTCGCCTCGTTTTCCACTCTCACTGCTTGAGATCTACCCTCGGGGCTGACAAGCGCACTGCAGCCATGCCCTTGTGACTCTTTTTTTTTTCGTTGATTCAATAGTCACGCTCATTTCGTTGCATTGTGTGAAGATGGCCACGTGTCCCATGCAAATTACCAAGGTCTAGGCTCCTTGGATGAGATGAACCAAACCATCACGAGGGAGGCCTGTGTCGCTTTCTTGCTGCCTATTTAGCGACCTATATCGAATTGACCGCGAACTAAACCAAGAAATAATCATTTAGGCCTGGCATTGTAATTCGAGTTGCCTGAAGGCAGAAGAGGCCGAATGAAGTTAACTAAAATCATGCCATGTAAAGTCACGTCTCACGGCTGACTTTACATTGATCGGACGTGAGTCTTTTGAACAAGACATGAACAAACACCACGTGATTCAAGTTTGTATTCCATTATCACTAGGGCTAATTGAAACCATCTCAGGTGCGGTTCGAACAGACGCAGCAGCGATACTCGGGCTTCATGGCATTCACTCATGTTCAACCCAATCGCCAACCGTCAGTATAGGAGACGCGAAGCTGTAATTTGTCCCCGTATTTTACTTATTAAAAACCGCACATATCCACGGTTGATCCTTGAACATACGTCCGCTGGCAAAGCTTCCTAAAGGCATACAGTGACATGCACTGTCTAAGAGTGTCTATCATCGATGTGGAACGATATGAACCATATCACGACACCGGACGTGGAGATTTCTTTACGTTACCTGTCAGCGAGACACTCCGAATCTTGCTGTGTATATTTTCATCTCGCAAAACTTCCCGGAGAAGATACGGCTTTATTGTCATCCAGGCTGCTGATATGGTGCTGTGAATGGGAGAGAAGAGTTTGAGGCGACGTTTCTAATATTTTTGAGTATTTATTACGTTGCCGCTTCCTTCCAAAACCTGCCTGCTGGCTGAGATTGGAGAACTAGGCCTTGACAGCGCTCAAAAAGGCGACACAACTTCCGTTGTCAACTGCGGTCAAAAGATAGGCTTTGTAAAGACCCAACCGCATCTATGATTTTGTAACTTTGGTGAAGAAAAGCTCGCCTTGTTATGATAGGGTCATTTAGAGTGAAACACCCGAGTAAAAATGCCCGAGAGACCTGTAACACCAAGGTAGACAGACAGCTTGATTACATGTAAACCACATTCCTCATGCAAGTTCACGTCGGATTCAGCGTTCAAAGAGTTGAGTTATGAGTATTAGATGAACTGTGAGTTTGGGATGCTCCTATATAACTTCGTCTGCCACAGGAAGTCTGCGTCTGGATCCCAACTTTTCCTTGGTATCATCCACATATTGGTCGCCGCGAGGGGTTAAGCTTTCACTGGAAAGTTTCAAGGAAGTATCAAAATCTCGAAGCCTTTATTATTTCTGAATTCGTCTATATATGGGCGATATTTTCGAATGGTTGGGTCGTTCAGCTCCAGAAGCGCACGTCTAAAAGTAGGAGTGTCTCTAACCCATAAGCTCTGCCGCACGCATTTGGGCGGCTTGAAGATGCTCAAGAGATGGCATAGCGTATTAGCCACTAAATAATCTTTCAATCGTATACTAGGTAACATTTGTGGCCTGCATTGTAATTCTGGCAAGGGCGATAGACTTGGTATGTACTGATCAGTTACACACTAACAAGGCGGAATGCGGCCCCACATCATTTAGTCGGAGAGCACAATCGGAGCCGAAGCATCGGCTTGATTTCCACACAGAAAGATTCAGATAGTAGAGTTTAGAGTGATTCAGCCAATGATAAAGATCATTCAACGTACATCTAAAAAAGTTCTACCATCATTCCCTTCCATATTGCAGTGCGCGACCTTTCGTGCTACACACATACTGGCTGGTTTTGGTTGTTTTTGATTTGGGTGTTGCCTAAGGTGATGGACGGGTACTGTAGCACTTAGAAGGCGCCCTGACGGATAAGGTACCGTACCACTTGCCGATGGACGGGTACTCTACCCTTAATCCAGCCTTCCCCAGCACACCCATACACACCCGTCTGGCAGGTTGGCAGACACCATCGCCTGTGAGCTGCTGCCACCACTGGATGCTCCAGCCCGGTAGGAACATCAATGCATCATCTTTCTACCGCTGTTATTGACTACAGTATCGCCGTACAAAAGACCTTCGATTTCCTCGATAATTTGACAGGAAGAAGCACCTCAATGTTCATTGTCGGCAACTTCGACGAAAGGCTTCTATTCTTTGGACTGCCTTAGACGCTCAAGACATACTCTCGTGTAATTCTCTCTCACATCGTCGTCTCCCACGAAGAAGAATTGGAAACCACCGCGGAAATGAGTGAAAATGTCTCAAACGTCGCCGTTCACGGGTATCACATCGCCTTCAAAACCCTTTTATCAGTAGGGGCTTGACTGAGCATATGCACGGTCAATATTTGGCGCGCTCATTGACTGACCATGTGTTCCCTAGCAGTTCTTAATCTGCCCAAACCCCTCTCGCACCTCAGGAAGCCAAGAAGCAACATCAGCAGCGCATCAATTCTTTTTTGAACGACAACGATGACCCCGTGCCTCTCTTTGGTCAAACTGCCAAGCTCATCAAACGACGCCGAGACGATAAAGCCAAGATGATTGACGAGACCATCTCCAAGTGCAAAAAATGAGCTTGGCGTGTCGTAGCTCTCACACTTTTTGGGATATTGGGAGAACACGCCCGCATCATTTACTTCAGTCGGTAAGTTATCCTCAATTATCAAGTGAGAAGTCTTGATCACTGACACTGTGAACATTAGAAATATTCTCTCACCCTCGACTCTCCCCCTCGAGCCCAGGTACCAGGGCCCGGACGGCCGGCTCGGCGCCCCACCCGGTCCGGAGCCAATTCCAATCTCCCGTTATTTCGGGTCCGATTCACGGAACAGGTGGAGCCGTTCATTCCCGTCTCGCTGTTGCGTGAGGTATTACAGACGAACACACCCTGTTTTGCGCCTTTGCAAGGAACTCGAGGCAGGCCGGGCATGCAACCCGTCTCGGTAGCACCCGACACCTATGCATCAGTGGCTGGTTCCATTGGTTGCAGCTTGAGAGTTGAGGCAACGTGGCTGGGGTGGATGCCTTGTCTCGAGAGAACCGCCCTTCCTTTGCACCCCCTTTTTCCCTGGTCGCACCGAAATTGAAAATTTCCATGTTATTTCCCTTAAAACAAATTGTCTTCTTTGAATCCTAAGGATCATTTCGGGGGATTAATTCTAGTCTTGTTCTTAACCTAGGCCCTGGCGACGGGTTCCCTCGTAGTGAGGAGTTTGCCAAAGCGCGCTATCTATGTTCGACAACACCGCCTCTTACCGGAAGGACAACTCTTCTGTTGGCGGCCGTCATCTGCAAAGCCACTGCGATTCTTTGCACGACTTTTGGTCATCCACCACCCGCGATTTCCATATACGATGTCGAAGCACAGTACTCCCTGCAAAACAGCGACGGTAGTTGTATCATCCCAAACGACAATGCAAGGTGCTCTTGTGAACCTTTACAGCAGAACATGCATGGAAACCGCTGGTGACCAACACTCGACGCCCAAATCCACGACAAAATCAATTGCACAATCAGGCAGCTTCGACAATGAGCCACAAAAGCGAAATGGCTACAGATGTCAATCTCACGAGTCATATGAAAGCAACGCTACAGGAAGAGTTGAAAAGTCACAAACACGTTTTACTCGATGGTACATGCGGCCTTCATATTGACGGATCGGTCCTCCAGCAGATATCAATAGCAGACCTCGGGAACTCCTCAAAGTCAGCCGATGAGACGTTATCGTTATATGCAAGTAGGGGGCCTCAGAAGAGGCGGTGGATTGGAACCAGACTCATAGGGAAGATAACACGAAACCAACTTTGGACACTCTTTAGGGCACACATCTGAACCATCAACATCATGATGCTTCACTTTGACTAGCAAAGTACAATAGAGAACCACTGTATACCATAACGATTCAACTTCATGACTGGCGACATTGAAAACGACAGGTGACTGTTGTTGGTGGACCTCTTGATGAACTTTTAACTGCGAAAGCAAATGGGCTATCCATACGTGCCGATCAAGAAAACATCACTGTGTGGCCGTGTCGCTATTCTCTCTGAGACACATTCGTGTTGTCAAACAACCAAGGTCTACCAGATTCGAACCGGTCTCAAGATTTTCTTGAAGTCTACCCTTGTGCTTCGTCTCCGTCTTCCTACTCATGATCACACGCACACGAATAGCCCGTCATCCAGGGCCGCTTTTCCGGGTACCTGAACAAAACATATTGCTGATCCCAGTCCCCGTACTTCTCCGTCATGACGTCCCGATACCACACAAGTTCTCGACAGCTCACCAACATCCAGTTGTATTGCGATATTTTCTTGTCCGCATACTTCCAACGTCCACTCTCATCTTTAACGCAGAAGCAGGGGAACCTCTCCCTTTCCTCGTACTTCGGATCCTCATCCGGATCGTACGCGAAGTCCTGCACTTCCCCGTCCATTGGCTCCTCTTGTGCATCGTCCTCGAATACATCCTCGACGTCATCATCCTCCGTCGGAATCTCAATGCCATCCACCCAATCGACCGCATCCATCAGAAAATGATGAAACTGTATGATTTCGTCATCAAGGCTTCTCCCCGATTCATCAACATAACCATCATCGCATTCGATAATATTGTATATCCTCGGTTGTTCAGCGTTGATTGCCTTAATGAATACCTCGTGCATCCGGCGCTCCTTGGACCCTTCCTCCAGCCCTTCGTGGTATCGGAGAGACTCTAAACACTCTGCGTCCACGTAGAGCGGGTAACTTCCGAGAACAAGATCTCGGTGCCACCACGGACTGATCTCCCAGTCGCTGATCGAAAGCTTGGAAGACCAATGCAGATACTGCTCCCGGACGTCCTCGATTGACGTGCCGTCCAGCCCAGGGCCCTCGACGAGAAAGACGCGGAACTGGCCCTGTGATCCGTCCGAGCCGAGATCGATCGCGCGCTTGGCTTTCTCGTGGATGTACGTTACATAGCGGTCCCAGAGGTCGTCGTCGTCGTAGGTCGTTCGGTAGATGTAGAACCCCCACCGGGAGTACTCGTACGCGGGCGTCTGGAGAGAGGTCTCGGTTACTCGGAAAGCCTGGTGGTCCTTGCCGGCGGGCACATCGTGTCTCGTAAAGTATGCGAGCGGATGGCTCTCGTTTGGGAAGACGTCGAAGTTGGTGTACTGGCGATCGAACGTTCGCTGGCAAATGGAAGGAGGTGTAGTCGCCAGCAACACCAGAGATGAAAGTAGATATCGGTACATGGTTGAAATCGGAAGATGTGTAAGAAACATTATCACCAAACCGTTCGACAACTTTGTTTTGATCCTGAGCTACGCCACAGTGGTTCGGCGACCGCCAGACGAGGTCCAAAAGGTTGTCGCCTACAAGTCGTCCATACCGACCCCTTTGAGTTCCCGAGAATTACTGAGCCGCAAGGTTCAATCACGCAGGATTATGAGATACCTCAAGACCTTCATTGTCGGCTGCATCAAAACGAAAGTACACTACCGCCACCCAGCGTAGTTGAGAAGCCCGCAAAACAACTTTTCGTGCAGGCTAAACCCACTGCTTTTCTCTCGACACAAGCCTTCCAAAACCAGACCCAAGAGACAGGAAGAAACAAGTAGACCAACCAAGGCAATAAGCAAGCAGAAGAACTAAGTCATCAACGTCATAAGTCATCAAACCTTCCAAAAACCAAGAAGACCCCCCGAGACGACCTCATCATTTTAAATCATCGAAAAGACCTTTGAGACCCAGCATCAACTGAACTGCCCCTCCCCGAGCGAGAATACACCTCCTCCCAAGTCGGACCCCTATCCCCTCCAGTCCCCCTCCTCCCGAAACCCGGAGACCTCGGCGACTCATCCCGCTCATCGCCCTTCTCCCGTCCAGAATAAACTCCGTAGTTGCCATCATTGCCCCTGACATCCGACGGCCCTGGCGAGGGCAGGTGTTGAGAGATTGTGGGAAGTGAGGCACTGTATCTATTCACAGGCGGTGGACTCCTTTGACGCGGGGGGATCGAATGTCGACCCATCGGCGGGGGCGGTAGATCGCGATGCCTGGGCACAGAGCCGGCGTCCGAGTTGGCGCGGGGAAGGCGTGCGGGATGGGACTCGCTGCGGTTCGATCCCCTATCATACGTTCTCGCTCGATGCGGCATCGGACCGGGCCGCTTCCTGTCATCGGATGAACGCCGAGAGTGGGTGTTCGCCTCCGTAGGTCTCATCTCCGATGAACTTGGCCGGGCGCGTGGAATGGATGGCAGAGGCGGGGTAGCGTCCTCTAGACAGTCCCAGACCGCCTCGTCGAGGATTTTGCGGACCTTTTTGTCATGGTGCTCGGGGAGAAGATGCCTAGACAGTTGCTTGGGTAGTCTCTCCGCCTTGCCGTCGACAAAAGGGCCATCAGAGTTGATGGGCAACGAGGACATGATGGCGTGGAGGCGCCGAGCTTCGGGGTCTGGATAGGCGAGGATATTGCTCACCATCCACTTAGCGAAGCCGACGGGGGTGAGGCCGGGGACGTTGGGGTGGGAGCGAGGAGTGTTTTGGACGAGGTGATATTGGCAGTCAAGGTCTTGGTAGAGAAATTCGATCCTTTCGAGAGCGTCTTTAGAGCGAGAGCGGAAGATGTCTATGAGATGTTAGAGAGGGATTGGTCGAGAGAGGGAATGGCTTACCTTCATACTGAAATCTCTCCTGCTCAATCTTGTACTTGGTGTACAGCGCAAGCATCTTCTCAGGGGTAACGACCAAGGACTCAGGGGGCCCAAACTCCGTAATCTAGAGCCGCATTAGCATGAGTTACTCTGCATAGGGAAGAAATCAGACTCACGATATAATTTGCCAACCCTCGAAGCACCGAGTTGAGCCTCTGCGTACCGAAACCCTCCGGATCAAACAGCAAACCCCAAGCCTTGTCGACGCTACTCATCTCGATCTCCCCCGGAACTTGCGCTGTAGGTGAGACGGCCTCCTGCTCGATACGAGTCTGGCAGTGTATAATCGGCGGACCACGATTCCTGAAGCGGACTGCCCTCTGTTGGGGACTGACGGGCGGGGTAGTCTGGGCATCGGACACTGAAGGCGGGGCATACGCCGACGGGGGTGCCATGGACGGAGTTGGCGTCACTTTGGCATATGCGGCTTCTGGGCTCCGGTTCCTTGGAGATGAAAGCTTTGAGGCATCAATGACTGAGGAGGGCGGGCTTGGATACGAGGGCGTAAAGACCGAGTTCTGGCTAGAAAGGGGGGAGAAGCGGAACGTATCGACGGGAGTCCCGGTTTCGCTGTTCTTCAGCTGAACGACCTGGGCTGCTTGCGCGACTTGATACTGTCAGGAATAATACCTTTCTGTTGGAAAAGGTAGGAAACACTGACCTTCCTCCTTAATGATTTTCCTCAGTTCCTCCAGCATATTAGACGACATACTGCCCATACTATCACGGGAGCGGGAGACAAGGGGCGGGATGTTGAGGTTGATCGAAGGCGGCTGCTCCTCTACATCGCCGTGTCCATGGTCCTCTTTTTGTTCTCCCCAAGTGTACTCTGCGGTCTCTTGTCCAAACAATGGCAGTGGAAAATCCTCGGGGTCCGGATCTCCTGCGTGGTCTCGTGATAAGGTCCAGTCGGTGGTGTTCAACTTCAGCCGGACGGCCTTCTCACCCGGCGTGGTAGTCATTCCTGTAGCTGACACGTCGTATGCAGATATATGCGAACTCCCGTGGCTGTACTAGATCATTGTGCGAGACAAACTGGGTGGACCGATGATTGGATTATCGGAGCAACTGCAGCAGGGCATGGGCAGTTTAAATCAACCAGCAGAAAGACTGAGAGAGGGAGATCAAAAGAGGAAAAAACACATGTAGTTATAGACCCATACCTCCTTCGTTCTGAGATGCAACACCGAGGGCGGCGCCCCAATGAGATGATGCCATCTAGCACCCCGGCGTCAGGTGGGTTGATAAGAGGTGCACGATATGTGTATATGAAGGGGGACGATCGAAGGTGGGGACACGAAAAGGAGCAATAGGTGTTGCGGAAAACTGCATTTTCAGAAAAGACAGGGAATGTGGTGTTCACCCCTCACAGATACCGGCATCCCGAGAGCAGGCTGTGTCCTGGGGGGGGAAGTCTTGAGCTCGCACAAAGTGGCCGGGCGAGGGTGGTGTCAAACGCCACACGAAGTTGCCTTCTTTTTCGAACATGCCGCGCGCCGTCTCCCATTCAGCCGACCCTTGTCTGATTGGGCAGCGAAGTACACTTTGGCAGGCGTGTACGCGGGGTATCAGCTAATTCGACGCGCCACCCAGGTCGATGGGATTGAAGAATGACTTGTTGCCGTTCTCCAAGCCGGGCTTGGTCGGCGGTCTACCCTTTCTCCGAGAAATACGATTGGGAGACTTTCCGATTTTGAGGCCTCCGCGCCAAAGGGCATGAACGTCACTGTTGAGACGACATAAGTTTGTCCGTCTCCTCCCTGTCGCTTCGAACTGTAATCGTAGTGCTATCGAGGCATTCGAGTTATGTCGGACAAAAAAGTCAGGAGACACGCGTGTTTGCAAGCTCGTAGTGTTGGCCGTGCTGGCAGTCTCTCGTGGTGTTGAAGCTGGTAAGGTGCCACGACAGGGCACTATAAGACGACAAACCATGCGTTGAGACGCAGTTTGGAGATGGTTTTCAGCCCCAGAGTGGGACGTTGCATGGAATTTGCAGAGGGACAAAGATGATATCATGCGCGATTCCCGGGATAAGACCATGACTTCCGGGGGTTCCGGCACCGTCCGCGGCGTGGCGTCCACCGAGAATGGTTCGCCCGTCGGACTGGCAAACCGTACCGTTCGTTCTCGGGGCCCCGATCTCGCAAGACATATGTTGAGTTCGTCGCACCAGGCGCGTCTGTCTGAAGCGCCATCGGCGCGGCCCTCTTGAGACATCCTATCTACCCGCTGGGCGTTTCCCGACGGGATCATGAGACAACCGAAGAAGTCAATGATCGGCTCCGGTCTCGTGGCTTGCACTGGTGGGTGTGTTCCTGAGCTGTTCAGCTTGGCGTCAAGTTTAAGCGGCCACGTGAGCTGGTTCCTACATCTCGGTGAGCTTCCTTCTGATCAAATCTGCACTTAGACAGTGCGACACCGGTGAGGCTTATATATGATGCTGATAAGAAACGTGTTACACCGTTACGTCAAGGAGCTTTAACTCCGATCGAGATCAATGCTCGCCATCTAATGCACTTACAACAGTCCCACATTGAACTTCTTATGCTTTGTACAACAGGTCCAAGAAGCCATTTGCCAAGTCGACAACCACGCTCTTGTTCGGCAAAGATCCAGCAACTCCGTAGAGAGCAGCCGAGTCGCCGACAGCCTTGCCCTTAACTCCCTTGCCCTCAACTGCGCGCACTCTCTCCTTCTCCTTCTCCGCCTCGACGACGGCCTCCAGATCCGTGAGAAGCTTCTCGTAAACTTTGGTAATGGGCAGAGTAACAGCGACGTGGATAGCCGGAGGGTTTTGCAGGGCATTCAAATGCCAGCCCTTCTCAGACATGCCGTCGGCAATATCGTAAACGTTCAGGTTCTTGGCGGTGAAGGCGACAACGGAAACAAGAGGCTTGCCGAGAATTTCGAGTTCGTTGTCCAGAGCCGGAGTCTCACGAATCTTCTCAACAATTTTCTTGGCTGTTCCGACGATCTTGACACAGGCCTCGATGTAACCTGCCTCACCGACCTTCATCAAGCTGGCCCAGCAACCAGCAATCAAAGCACCTGGACGCGAGCCGGCCATACCAGGAGAACCATAGACGCCGCCAGACCAATCCGGTGAAACGTAGTATTGGTACTTACGGAGCTCCGCTGACCTGTAGAGGACGGTAGAGTTGCCCTTGGGAGCGAAACCATATTTGTGAGTGTCGCAGCTAATACTGGTCACGCCCTTGAGACGGAAGTCAAACAACTCGGTCTCGAAACCGGCCTTGTCGAGGAAGGGTACCATGAAGGAGCCGAGGCAGCAATCGACGTGCAGGCAAAGCTTCTTTTTGAAGGCTAGTTTGGACAGAGCGCCAATGTCATCGATGATACCGTGGGGGAAGTTTGGTGCAGATCCAACCAGCAGCACCGTGTTGCTGTTGATCAAACGGGAGACGGCGCGCACATCGACTTGATAGTTAGGCGCGGGGCAGGCAACGTAGTGGATTTTGATCTTGAAGTAGTCGCCAGCCTTTCGGAAGGCAGTGTGGGCGGTTTCGGGCAAAATCCTACCACAAGTCAGTGCGATGGTCACAATAAAATCCCGAGAGGAGCGTACATCTCAGGCTCGGTGATACCCTTCTCGAAGTATCCACGTTGGCGCGCGCCCAAGCAAGCCGACAAGATACTGTCAGTACCACCACTGGTGGTGGCACCGGCAGCACCGGGAGGGGCGTTGAACATGGCGAGGACCATAGACACAACCTCGGCCTCCATCTTTCGCACGCCAGGGAAGACGTCAGGATGGATGGGGTTGGCGACTGTGAACTTGCCGAAAGCCTCGGTCTGCAGCTTCAACAACTCGTCCTCGCCGTGGTAGACGGCACCAGATACATATCCATCCTCCCACCTCGTGTGATCCAGGTTGGCCAGCGCATCCAACTCTTTCTTGATATCCTCGTCTGACATGCCCTCCTTCGGAAGCGTGAGGTATCGGGTGAGGTCCTTGGGGATCATCTTTTGCTGCAGCTTCGCCATGGTCTCGTTGACCTGCTTCTGGACTTGTCCGCGGACGCCAGGGGCGCGCAGGAAATAGCCATAAAGAACGCGACGTATGTCAATGTATAGCTCGACGATGCTGCCTATCAGGCCACGACCCTTGAGTTTGAGGAAAGTCTTGCGCGTCCATCGCCAGACGAAGAGGAAAAAGATGATGTTTCGCAGCCTGTAGACGACCCAGGATTCCAATTAGCATCGGCTGACGTGATGAGCCGGGAGTACCGATCAGGCGAATTGCAGTAGAGGTAGACAGATTGAAGCTTACAAGTCGATGTTGAGAACTAGCAACGGATTGGCCTGTCTCGTGCGCTTGACGTGCTGCAAGCCCTCGCGCAGGCTTGCGGGAATGCGGGAGCTGCCGGGCATCTTGACCACCTGTTCCTGATGCTTCAAGCCTCGGCGCAGTGGAGATATGGATGTTCGCGACGACGGCAACAGAAGGGGGGCGGAACGGCCAACCGTCAATGGGGGTGGATGCGAAGCCCAGTTATATGTAAACGGGGAGGAAAAAGAAGAGACGAATGGGGATGAGCGTCAAAAAAGGATTGGAGACGAGAGTAGTATATACCTAATTAGTATGGAATTGGGAAGAGGTCCGATGTTTAAGCAACGCCACGGAAGCAAAAGCGCATCGCCGCCGCACCCCAGAAAACACGACCTACTAGAACGCTGCGCAGAACACCGAACAACCGCGAATCCCAGCCGGCCGAAAAATCGTGGGGCATCGAGCCTTCTTGATTATTTCTTAGCGCGGTCTACCCCTGTCGCTGTAGGCGAGGCACTTCGTCTGGGGAGTCATTGCCGCCTTCCGAGCAATCACATGCGCCGTTACAGGCCAGAGGAGCCCTGCTTTCCACGGCGTCCGCGTCCGCTGGCCGCAGCCGTCACACCTTTCAGGCAAGTCATTTACAGGGGGTCGGATGTCACTGGTAGAGGACTTTTGGATGAGACGGAGACCTGGCCAGGTCGTCACAACCAGGTATTCACGCTTTGAAGCAACAATAAACGGCTTTTCCCTGTCTACCTACCTACGAAATGAGGTGGCTTCAAAGTGGAGTGGTCAACGATGAGCATCACCTCCATCCCAAAGAAGGCATTCATCACCGCGTGACCAGCCTGCCATCTTATCAGATACGTCACAAATTCCAACAACGAACCGAGACCTGCGAAACTCGGCCGATTGGGCAGTCTATCCGATACTCGCATGACTTCCGGTCGAGATCGTCTGCTACTCTACTCTGCACCCCTCACTTTAACAGCCCTCGGTTCCATCGACTTGCTCTCAGTTCCTCAAACGGCTACAGGTGTCTCTGCGAAGTGGTACAACAGCCGTTATCCGTCAAAAGACATGAAGCCGCGGACCGCCCGGAGGGACGGGACCCGTCGCGGTGGGGCAAGCTGGTCCGCGGACGCCCGTCGACCGGGCTCGCGTTCCCGAATCAATTTGCCGGTCATTGGTAAATGCATATCGCAACTGTCCTTGAGTCCTGGAAGCAGAGCGCACAATTATGCCTGATCATGCAGGTGCTGCACCTCTCAAAAGCTAGAATCGACGATGATAGCTAGAGCGGATCCGGATTCACAGTCGGAATCTGACTCGAAGCCTGATCTTTGCCTTGACCACGTCACATCGCCGTCCACGTCTGAGAGATCCAAGCGGATCCCACGGCGAAGCCCGGGTCCTCGATCTTAGCGCACTCCAACCTTGCAGCCGGATCTTGGACGTCGCCAACAGACCTCAGTAACACTCAGTAGACTCTTTCTGATTGGCCAGTCGCGCCTGGTCTTCCCTGTCCAACTCGCCCTGTCATGGCGAAGTGGCATGTCACTGTGAGAAGACAAATCTCAGTGGGGAACACTTCTCGATGTGTTCAAGATCATCGCGCCCGAATCCCCCAAGCATAGGTCGACGTGGAGTTTCAGTGTGTATTATCACCTGCGCCTTCTCATGCCCGGCTTGCCAAAATTCGTAATATACAAAACGTTGGAGGAACCAAGCCTCCCATCATCAGCAAAGTCGTCATCTTAACGAGTAACGAGAGAAACCAAGCGAAAAACAAAGCTTGACATCCTAACGTCAACTGGTTCATGCAGCTGGGCGAGCCTCCAAAGCCCGCAAGACTCGCAGTCAAGTAAAACCCGAATAAAAATGCCTCGTGAAAATAATCTCCGCAGCCCAAGATAAACGCCCTCTTCCATCTTATACACTTCAAAATAATACCGAGCTCATGCTGCCTTGGGGAATAAAACGCCTGGAGATCTTACGTGTCTCACCCTTTTCCGTGGGGTCGACCCTTGCTCATTTATCTTTTCTTTCGGTTTATGCCTTGAACGCCGCGTGCCACTTGGTGTTGTAGCTTTCTAATTCCTTCTCGCAAGCTCGGTCTCCAGACTTGGTGCAGCCAGCCGCGCGAACAACGTGGTCGCCTTCAGTGAACATCTCGCCCTTGTCGTATCTGTTGTAGGAGTTGAATGTCTTCTGCGGGACGATTGCCAGTCTCGAGAGAATAGTGGGGTGCCATTGGACAATGTGTTCCTGGGCAGGCGGTCAGCATCGGAGCCGCTTTGAGGCGCGAAATAAGAAACTTACCAAAGCGTGTCCCTCAGCTTTTTGGAAATTGTAGCTGCGGTACAGTGGATCGAACCACGTGTCAATAAAGAACTTAGCCCACTCTCCGTTTCTGACGAAGAAGCTTCCCGCGGACAGACCCTCTCGGTCTTGCGTCAGAATGAAGTCGATGTCTTCGCCCTTCAAGTGGGGGAAAGTCTTGATGATGCTGTCTGGCGGCACGACCGGGTGGTCTTTGATCATCAAGCCCTCGATCTTGTCCGATTTGAGAACCAAGCTATCCAATGACTGGGTGGCCATGATGTATGAGTCCTGGTCGAGATACCAGAACCACGTCGCATCGGGGTATTTCGTGATCGCGTGTCTCAAAGACACTACTTTGTTCCATGATGCTGGGGAGCCTTTGAGGTCGTAGTCGCCCACCTTGGTGAACATCACCTCGTAGCCTACGTCGAGTCTGTTAGCATTTTGACAAGAAGAGGGCCTACCAGATCGTACCGTGCAGTTGCGCGTATTGTTGCCTATTATCGCGAATGCTTGCCAGATAGTTCTTGTCGTGTGCCGATTCGTCTAGCGCGGTGACTATCACCACGGGCGGGTTGCCCGAGGGCGTGTGAGGACGGCTGCTACTTGACTTGAAGGCCCCAGACAGCAAGTAAATGAAGCCCAAGAGTGTAAGAGCACCGGCGGCGATGACTTTTGTCCGACTTCTCCGAAGGAATGGCGGTATCCTCGAGGATCTGGCCCGGAAGGGCGGCGGATTGGAGCTCTTTCTTGGTGGGTATGCGAAATGCATTGTGTCGGATTAGATGATTACACGTGTAATTCGGAAGGGAGGAACCCCAAAGGTCCGCGATAGAAGAAGTTGTCGCGAGATAACCCGTGTCAAAAGCCGACGTTTCAAAGAGTAGTGTCGATTGTCGTCGAGGTGCAAATTTCGGAGGTTATCGAATACGAGACTAGAGGCTGACTGTCGCCGTTGCGACTAGAGTCTTGGCAACAACAGAAAGGAGGGAGACGGTGTCAGCGAGTGTCCAGCTTCGTAGAATGGTCGCAGAGTGTCATTCAAAGAGTCGCATAACGTCGAGGGCCTCAGCGATCGTTTTGACACCTTTCTGGGTGTCTGTTTTCGGAAGGGATGGTTTGTGCAAGGGTGACGGTCGACAGCTAAAGGACGACAGCTGGACACGAACTCGAAGGCATCGCTTCGTTCAATTCGTGGTCCACTCTGGGAGCATTAGGTAGGTAGATCTCGCCAATGAACGAGGACGGGACAGGCACTGATTGGCTTGACCGGGGATATTATAATCCGGCAACTGGTCCCTTTGGTCCGTGCACAATACCTCCGTCCAGGGGCCCGGGGCTGCAGCTGGTGCCCCACGATTCAGAATGACATGAACCGCGCGGGGTGCGATGACGCGGTATTGGTTGCTTACGTTGTATGCGTTCATGATGGCCCTCACATATCGCACGATTCGAAGAATTGTTCTCGGTCATTTCACCACGATTTGAATGGAGTCGATGTAAGGAGTTCATGCAGTACAATTTAGCGTCTCATCAGGTACGTTGCAACTTTGTGACTGCAGGTCACAGGCGTGTATCAGTTTGCGCTTTTGCCAACCCAAATGCGTCGACGACGAGGTCGAGGGTTGCCATCAGCTGAATCCCAGTCAACAAAACGTCGACTGAGTTGAAGCAATCTGATGTCGTCCGACTGTCCAAATTGAACCCTACCAAAACGGTCAGATTCCAGGACAGAACGGGGACTTGATCTCTGCACACAGACTAGTTGACACGATATGGAAGAGAATCTTCGAGGCAACTTAAGAGTGTGCAGGTGTGGGACATCAAAAAGGCAGACTCAGCAAGCGGCGTCTGTTTGGCGAATAACAGCCGTTTGTATTGTCCAAGCGTACCCGGCCTATGTTAGTCCTGCTTCGTTTCCTCATCATCATCGTCGTCATCATCACCACCCACATCAAATACCCTGTCGCTTGCGCGTTGCAACGCCGACGCGCTGAGTGCCCTCACGCCTTTCCAGACGCCCAACAAAAAGGTAACTGCGCCGACAATGACCACGGCCATGTTGATGCCCTCGACCCGCGCGCGTCCTGTTCCTCCGCGACGTCCGGTCGAACCGAAGAGGCCACCGCCATGTCGAAGATTGTACACCTGCCACGGCGTCATGGCGAGGAAAGTCTTGATGAAACCAAGAAGACCAAGAGAAAAGAAGCCTTTGAGGAAGTGTTCCAGCCACGTCCCAGGCTCATTTGATGTCGGTTCGTTGATCGCCTCGATGTCGTCAAGCACGTTTGCAACCCCGTCGGCAATTACACCCACCGGGTCATTCCAAAGGCCAAGGATAGGATCTGCGACGAATCCGAGGAGAAAGACCGAGAAAACAAAGATGAGAATAGTCAGTAAGATTTGTGCAGGTGCGCTTGACATGCGGTTTGCCCATGACAGCCGCTCAAGTTTGTACTTGTAGCCACAGGTTGGGCAGGCGAAAAAGTTCCGATTGGCAGTCGAGTCTGCATATCTCCAAGCTTGCAAGCAGCCCTCGTGGACGTAGCGCTGAGAACCTTTGCACTTGCATGGTGAAATAAGCCGTCCACATTCGGGTTCTTCAGACTTGTAGATAGGCCGCGGCGGAGAGTTCATAAAACCACTCATGGGCAAGGGCTCCGCAAAGGTTGGATGGACGACGTCCAAGCAAATGCGACATGTTCGTGGGCTGTAGTATCTTTGCTTGGGCTGAGGCCGAGGCTGCGGCTGCTCGTCGCCTTCGGTCTCGTTCTGCTCATCCTGACTTTGATTCTCAGGACTGTTGGGATCTGAGGTATCGGCTGCGTCGGCTTTCGAGTGGCGTCGCTCTTTGGGGAGATCTGAGGGCCAGCTCCACTGCGGTGTCGCTTCCATGACGAGCGGTACTGAGGACGAAGTTTGGATATGCAATGTATGGGTATAAATAACGCCCGAACAGCGCAGACTGTAGCAATAGAAGGCAAGTCGCGCGTGAAACTCGTGTGTTTTGAGATTTCGCTTGGCTCAGCTCAATCTTCATAGGACGGCACCTACATGGCAGGAATGGCGGAGTTTGCAAAGCTGGCCATCTGTCCTTCGGGAGATGGTGCTAAGCTGTCAGATTTCCTGGACGGAAGTCGTCAGTTGAGCGTGGGAAGTAGCAGGAAAAAAAGAAGTTTCCAGCACCGCTTTATTCGAGCTGTCCCCGCTTGGTCATAGCTTCCGCACCCGCCGGATTATGTCAGCAGCTCCTTCCCGGACAGGATCAACCACCTGGCCGCAGCAGTCACGTGCCGCTATCTCACAGGCGGCCAGCCCAGACGGCTGGCAGCTTGACGCGGCGCGAGTTGCCTAGGAGGGAGAGCTTCATAGCTCCGACAGCCTCACCTCGTTTGACCGCAGCCAACCCACCATCCATCCTCCCCGTCAACATCTTCACAGAAAACGAACCTCGATCGCACAATTTAACAGTCAAGCCATGGCCGACCGTTACTCCTTCTCGCTGACGACATTCTCGCCCAGGTAAGCTTCTCGATCCACTTCGTGACGTCTTGTGCTAACCTAGTGAAGCGGCAAGCTGGTTCAGATCGGTACGCTTCGAATTTACCCCTCCATTGAACCATTATTTGGCGTTGAGACGACGGCGGTGATTTGAGGCAGAGCTAATTGATTGTTAGAGTATGCCCTGAACGCCGTCAATCAGGGTGTTACCGCCCTCGGCATCAAAGGCAAGGTCGCTGCCCCTCCTTCCCACTGTCCGCGCTAACTGTCCGCAGCCACCAACGGTATCGTCCTCGCGACCGAGAAGAAGTCATCATCCCCGCTCGCCGACCCCAGCTCGCTGTCTAAGATCAGCCTCGTCACCCCCAACATCGGAATGGTCTACTCGGGCATGGGCCCCGACTACAGAATATTGGTGGACAAGGCTCGCAAGGTGTCGCACACTGGCTACAAGCGCATCTACAACGAGTACCCTCCCACGCGGATATTGGTGCAGGATGTTGCACGTGTAATGCAAGAGGCGACTCAGTCTGGTGGCGTTCGTCCCTACGGTGTCAGCTTGCTCATTGCCGGTTGGGACGAGGGTATCCTGCCAGAGGACGAGGCTGAGACTAAGGAGGGCGAGGAGAAGAAGCCCACCGGCAAGACTGGTGGTACTCTGAAGGGTGGCCCCATGCTTTACCAGGTCGACCCCTCTGGCAGCTACTTCCCATGGAAGGCGACAGCTATCGGCAAGAGCGCCACGTCTGCCAAGACGTTCCTGGAGAAGAGATACACGGAAGGCCTGGAGCTCGAGGATGCTGTGCACATTGCATTGCTTACACTCAAGGAGACCATTGAGGGCGAGATGAACGGAGAGACCATTGAGATTGGTAAGTTATTTGAGCAGCGATGTTGATTATTCAGGCCTGTGGTTCTAACAAATCTTTAGGTATCGTTGGACCCCCGGCGGACCACCTCCTTGGCATCGATGGTGTTGAGGGTGCGAAGGGCCCTCGTTTCAGGAAGCTGAGTCCTCAGGAGATTGAGGACTATCTCACGAACTTGTAATGCACGTCTTGACTTTATGGGTCGTACCCTTGTACCATAGAACAGCATAGAGGCACAGGAGCAGAGAGGAACTCCGAGCTCTAGAATCAACGGATGACCTGCGCGATGACAACTTCGTGCATTTTCCGATCCATTGGTGAGTGCTCTGAACCAACCTCGATGTACGTTCAGCGCCCGCAAAAGTCCAGACGGCAAGCTCCGGTCCACAGGGTGAAGTATGTGCAGTATGCACCGGAAGATTTGGAATCCAGGCTGATCTGGGCCGACGATGAATGCCGAATAATTTGGATCATAGTGGAAGCGCTACCTCTCAAGCAACAAGAGACTGCTGATTGCAGGGTCGGCCGCTTCTTCTGCAGCTTGACTCTTCTATCCCTACTGATACCATCTGAAACTGCCAATCCGTAGCTGTGCCGCAATGACGCAGAGGACAGGTTGCTCACCTGATGGTTCCACTTAGGCAAATGACGGCATCTAGGAAGTTGATGATTCGCAAAGTGTCGAAGTTTAGGCAGATGACAGTCTGTTGTGGTAGTCTATAGCTGTTCCAGACCGACCCGGGTCCAGTCGGAGCGACTTGATTCTGCATCGGCTTTCCCAACTTGCAGGAGAGGGGCGCCGCGCAGCAACCCTTATCCTCACCCAACCCACCCTGCCAGACTAGACCAGTCTCTGGTTTGTTTATGAGGCCTACCATGAATGGCAGAAGTGCACGACAGGGCACATTGTGAGTGAACTATGCAGATGGACCTGCATTATCAAGCTCTGTTCAGGGAAGTACACCGACGCCCCATGTCGGTGCTGGATTTTGCCATGACAGTGGTTTCCAGTCTGAACGCAGGGCGGCTTTTCGCTGCTTCGGTGGTGACCTAAGGTAGTATATCGAGTAGGCAGTGGCAAGCGATGAAACATGAAACGTGGAAGGCAACAACAGTGTCTAGATCACAGTTTTCGTTCTGCAACGCACTTCGGGTCCTAATTGCGAATAGTTGTTGCCTTGGTATCCCCTCTGACCAAGCGAGAGATGCCTAAATTGAGGTATCCATGGATTGGCCTCAACAAGGTGCAAGTCGACTGCCGGACCACACTGGGTTCTGGTCAGACAGGTTCGGGGTTCCGGACGCTTAAAGCCTGGTCGGCAACGGAGCCGACTGGATACGCTCTGAGCCGGAGTGGAGGGCGGCGATTGTGGAACAGCCCGGGCTGGTTCGTTTCGGTGCAGTTAGCCGGCGGCGTCACCATAAACGGCGACGCGAAACCGCTGGAGTGGTGCAGGTCAAGCATGGGTTCCCAGGGTCGTCGGGATTACGATTTTGGCCACGCGGGAACTTCTGTCAGATTCGTTGTTTCTTTCGTCCGAGCCACATCGTCAAGTCATCTGTCTATGTTCCGTCGGGGTGAAAATATCGCTGTATCAATACGTACAATGGAAAACTTCTCTGTTTCCATTCGACAACTTTCCACGCTATCGAGTCCGTAGTGATTCACGATGAGTCTTACGCATCCACTTCATTTTCCAGCCACGTATTTATCTGGCCTAGTCTCGTCTTGCTTTTTCCTACCCATCTCCCTGACAAGTTTTGATATTGTCCGTAAGAGCCAAGGCGATGGTTCTTTTATATGCCGTGCGTAATGCGTTGCGAACCTACCCACGTTTTCGGCACAAGTGGTGGACCTCCTGCAGGACCGAAGGGACACAAATACGCGCAGCGCAAGTGGATTGATTGCGAGTGCAACTTCCGTCTCACCTTCACAGTTGACGATTCTTTCCAATTCGTTTACGACGTGCACCACGACTCGGGTTCGTCTTCAATCCTGCCAGGCACCATTGCGGCAGATTGTCACACACCCACGTTAAGCATCCTTGTCGCCTTCTGCCTACACGCAAGTGCTGTTGCAGCAAGACTCGCGGCACCATCCACGAATTTGCATTTTCCCAACGGCTAGCTCACCACTCGTCGTCAGGCAGTCGTCGCCCAGTTTCTACTACCTACACATCAATGTACCACATCATCAGCAACCAATCTGTTCCCGTCTTCGCCGTGCTGCATCGACCAAACCCAGGCGCACCCCGTGTCGCCCGAACTTGATCCGTCTTTTCGTACAAGGTTACCTGTCTTTCCTCTTTGAGCCGCGTCATTTTAACGTTGGGCAGAACTTGTCCTATTCCTTTGACTCACACACCGTCGACCCCGCTGCCGGGGGGTCTCGTCATTGGGCTTGGGTAAGGTGCTGCACGCAAGCCACGCCTCGACGGGGCGACGTCTGGGAAGTACCTCGCATCCCAGGACTCTGGCTTCGGGACTGTGGACTTCAGGGTCCCTGGTCAAGTCCTGCAAGCTTACACGACCATGTCCGACTACTCCCAATCATCCTCCGGCGCCAGCGCCGAAGTATCAGAGGATGAGGTCCAGTCTAACGTGCCGGCCCCGGTGCCTCATAACCAGGAAATTCTCTCCGCCCCCGAAGAGGACTTGTTCCTGGACAATGAGGCCGCATCGTCTTCAGATGAGACCGCCTCAGGCACTCCCGTCATCATGAATGCGAGGGCTTATCAACTCGAGATGTTTGACGAGAGCATGAAACAGAATATAATCGTAGCTGTGAGTCTTTGAACAGTCTTGTTTGAACTTGACATGAGGTGGAACTAACATGGCTTATTAGATGGATACCGGAAGTGGCAAAACCCAAGTGTAAGTCGAGCTCTGAAAAGCAGACGCTGCTTTGATTGACATGAACACAGTGCCACATTACGTATTAAAGCAGAGTTAGAAAGGACTCCCACAGAACAGGTTGGCGAACTCCAAGCTGACCGTCTGAATTGAAGCTGATTCCAACAGATTGTCTGGTTCTTGGCGCCCACAGTATCGCTATGTGCCCAGCAAATTGCGGTTCTCAAATCTCAAATTCCTGCTGTGCAGATGAAGTTTCTAAGCGGCGATGACAATGTTGACGCCTGGTCTGATCAGTCCGTCTGGGACGCCGTACTACTCAATGTGCGGGTGGTTGTTTCAACGTACCAGATCCTGCTGGATGCTTTGTCGCATGCTTTTGTGCGCCTCGAGAGGTTATCTTTGCTTGTTTTTGACGAAGGTATGCCGCTCAGGTCTCTTGTAAGGGTGCTTTTTGCTGATAGACGTGTAGCCCACAACTGCGTAGGGAAGTCTCCCGGAAGCAGGATCATGACCAATTTTTACCACCCCCATAAGCACGATGGACGTGTTGTGCCTCACATCATGGGCTTGACGGCAAGTCCAACTTTTGGATCCAAAGTCGAGAGCATAGACGTGCTAGAGTCAACCCTCGACGCCGTCTGCAAGACTCCTTCTGTGCACCGCGATGACCTTCTCGCTTGTGTGAAGAAACCGCAGCTTTCCTATGTCTCATTCCTTCCAAAAGACGACTATGGCGTGCCGAAAAGCTTACGAAGCCTATTGACCGCTGTTCAAAATCTGGACATCGCCGAGGACCCGTACGTACTACACCTGCAAACCGAAACGACAAACCGCAGTCGACGAGAGCTCATCGCGGTCTTGGAAAGCCATGACACCTACGTTCAAAACCAAATGACGTCTTTCGGTCGTCAGGCGAATTTCATCTTTCGAGAGCTGGGGCCTTGGGCGGTCGAGTACTACATCTGGGAAGTCATATCTCGGTTCAAAGCTGCGGTACGGACCCGAAGCATCTGGCTTGAGGCCTGGAAGGAAGACGAGAAGACCTATCTCTTCAACATCCTCGATCAAATTGAGTGCCAATGTCCATCGGCAGATTCCATCAGTCGGGACGTAATCTCGGAGAAAGTCTTCATCCTGGTCGAGCAGTTGCTTCAAGACACGACGGACATCATCGGCATCGTCTTTGCTAGAGAACGAGCGACCGTTGGTGTCCTGTGTCATCTCCTTGCTTCTCATGAGGCGCTGAGATCGAAGTATCGAATTGGCTCTATGGTGGGATCATCGCAGTACCAAGCTCGGAAGAGAGATATTTGGGATCTCACCCGCGCAGAAGATTTGCAGTCCTTGCAGCAGTTTCGATCGGGGAAGATCAATCTGCTGATTGCCACCAGTGTCCTCGAGGAAGGCATCGATGTTCCAGCTTGCAATTTGGTTCTCTGCGTCGACAAACCGCCGAATCTGAAATCCTTCATTCAGCGTCGGGGAAGGGCTCGAATGCGAGACTCCAAACTTCTCCTGCTGCTGGATCTTTCCGAGCCCCTACCTCGAGAATGGGAGACGTTGGAGGTCGAAATGAAGATGCAGTACGAGAATCAAGAGCGCGAACTCGAGCGTCTGAAGGAGATTGAGGATACAGAGGAAACGAAAGACATGAAGTTTGTAGTTGAGTCGACGGGTGCGACCTTGGACCTCGACAATGCGAAACAGCACCTCGACCATCTTTGCCGGATTTTATCCCCCGGGGAGTTCATCGATTGGCGACCTGATTACATCATTACGAAACTCGACAACACCGATGCGCCTGATCTCAAGGCTAAAGTTACCTTGCCAAGCTACCTTCCAGCAGACGTACGGTCCGCTGAGAGCCAGCTGGCGTGGAAATCCGACAAGAATGTCAAGAAAGATGCTGCATTCCAGGCCTACGTGAGATTGTACCGCGCCGGCCTCGTCAATGAGAACCTTTTACCATTCAAGCCAGAGGATTTCATCCCGGGTGTCGACAAGAGAGCTGCTGTACTACAGGTCAACGGCCTTCTCAATGCTTGGACAGGTGTTGCCAAGGCATGGCAGCACGACGACTCTTTCAGGAGAACTCAGATCCTTTTACATGACGCGAATGATGAGGTTCAGGGAGAATACCAAATGATTCTTCCCACGTGGGTGCCTGGGTTGAACAAAATCCCCATTCATCTCGACTACAGCACAACCTGGACGGTGGAATTCGGCAGTCAGATTCCTCTTGACGAGTTGCCCAGCACCGACCATACCGCTGTTCTTCTTGCTCTACCCTATGGGCATCGATGGTTGTCGGCAGAGCTCCAGCAGGTCACCAGGTTCTGTGCGCTAGAGAACGGTGAATATGCGGATATGTCTCTGGAAGGAATTGGATCGAAACGCTTCATACCAGACCAGGTGTCGGCACATGACCTCACTTGCTTCGTCCGGGATGGCACCGGTTGCCCCTATCTGTACGAGGGTGTCATTCCGGACAAGCCCAGCTACGAACAGGTACGGAAAGCCTTTTACGGGTTTGAAGAAGCGCCTACAGGCGTTCCGTACTTGACTCTGAAGAAATGGTCTCGTCGGTCAGACTTCCTCCACCGACCGCAGAGTGACCCCGGCCAAGCGCCGACTAACGACAAACCATACTCGAGAGTGTATCCGGTTCCGCTGGCTAAGATGGACGCGATACCAGCCAAGTATGCCCAATTCGGTGTGCTCATCCCGTCTATCCTGCATCGCGTCGAAACTTGTCTCGTTGCCAAAGAGCTGGCTTCGACTTTGTTGAGACCGCTCGCTATCGATGATTGGAAGTTGATCCAAACGGCCATCAGCGCTGGTAGTGCCAACGAACCTACCAACTACGAAAGACTCGAATTCCTCGGCGACTCGATCCTGAAGTTCTCCACCACCATAAATGTGGCTGCCTTGAGTACGTAGCCTGCAAAACATCTCTTGAATCGAACTCACTAACAGATTCTAGATCCGGAGTGGCCAGAGCGTCTGCTTTCGTTCAAGAAAGACAGCATCGTGGCCAACTCGACGCTTTGCAAAGCAGCAATCAAGCACGGTCTCGACAGGTTCATCCTCACAAAACCGTTCACGGGGCAGAAATGGCGCCCGATCTATGTGGACGACGTTCTCAAGCGCGGCGACGAACCGACGACAAGGAAGATCTCGACCAAAACCCTCGCCGATATTGTCGAAGCACTGATCGGGGCCTCCATGATCAATGGTAATCTTCCAAAGGCGCTAGATTGCATCGCGATATTCCTTCAACAAATCAACTGGAGAAGCATTAATGACTGCAGGAGGCTGCTGTACGATATCGCGCCTGCCGATATTGAGCTGCCTTCAACCCACGCACCCTTGGAGAAGCTGATCGGCTACAACTTCAAGAAGAAGTCCCTTCTCGTCCAGGCGATGACTCACGCTTCCTTCACCTTCGGCAACACCATCGGTTGCCTCGAGCGCCTCGAGTTCATCGGGGATTCTGTCCTGGACTACATCATCGTCAACCGTCTCTTCGCTGTCAAGCCGGCCCTCTCACATCAGTCTATGCATCTCCTCAAGACAGCTGTGGTCAACGGTGACTTTCTGGGGTTCCTGTCCCTCGAGAAGTCCGTTGAGCAGGACGAGATCGTCGTCACCGACGGCGGCACCAAGCGTAGTCGTCCCCAGCTGAAATATTCCACCTTCGCCCTCCCGCTATGGAAGTTCATGCGTCACCAATCCTCTGCCATCGGTCTCGAACAGATCAACATAGAGAAGCGGTGGACCGAGATGCGTGGGCCCCTGATTGAAGCCATGCAACACGGAAAGACGTACCCGTGGGCCCTGCTGGCGCGTCTGCAGCTGAGGAAGTTCTACTCGGACGTGTTCGAGTCGCTCCTCGGCGCGCTGTGGGTCGATTCCGGAGACATGGGGGTCTGCGAGCGGCTGGTCGAGCGCTTCGGGATCCTAGGATTCCTGGACCGCATCCTCCGCGACGGCGTTCACTGCCTCCACCCTAAGGAGGAGTTGGGGCACCTCGCCGACCAGGAGAGCGTCCAGTACGTGCTCAGCTCGAGGGAGACGGGGAACAGAGAGAGGGAGCACCTGTGCAAGGTCATGGTCGGCCAGCGATGCGTCGTCGAGATCGAAGGCGGCGTCACCAGGGACGAGGTCAGGGTCAAGGCCGCGGAGGCGGCGGTGAGAATCCTCAAGGAGGAGAAGTTAAGAAAGACGGAGACACAAAAAGATGCGGATGGGGACACAACTATGGGCGCTGGAAATGACCAAAGCGACTAGATGTCCACAAGGAAAAGACGACGACAAGCCGAGCGGCGAACCCGGCGAAAAAGGGCGCATGGTTCTCTTTTGATAGATTATATCTAGGGTTTTGTCTTGACTGCAGCGATGACAGATAGCTAAGTAGACAGCGAGAGTTGTAAAAAGAGCACTAAAGGGGTATATCTATTCCGTTCCTCCTCCAAACTCCTGGCCGGGGTAAAAGAAAAACATAGTCGTCATGACCGTCCGTAACATAGCAAAACCACAACCGCGCCTGAGCAAAATCGAAAACTGTCGTAAGGCTGTACCAAACTCGCACCCCTTGAGTGGAAATAACAGGAAAAAGTCGCTGCAGCGCGCCAGATAGAAAAAGTATTCCCCATGGTTGAGGGGAAACAGCGAGTCCGAGTGACTACATCCAGGCAGTCGTAGGGATCGCTTTAATCAAACGGGTCGGAATCTGAGTCACTGTCTTCCTCTGAGCGCTCGTCTTCGTCCCGCAGGTCAATGGCCACGTCCTCGTCTTCGGCCTCGAGCTCATCCCGACGCTTCTAGTCGTCCGTGAGGTCAATAGCCTCACGATTGTTGTCGATCTTGACCTTCTTCCACTCTCGCTTGGCGGGCTCTTCGGTAAGGTCGTAAAACTCAGCGAACTCCCGCTTAATCAAGGGACCCTTGTTCTCTCTCTTCAGAGTTGGTGACCGACGCCCCTGGACGAACGTCAGTGACGAAAGCGGATGAATGACGATTAACTTACGTTGATGTGGTCGAGACGCTCCGCGGCCAGTCGGCGAATCTCCTCCTCACTGAGAGCGTCGATGCCTTCGGGTGTTGGAGACCGGGGAATGATCAGCTCCTTCTGGAGGGCGTCTTTGGAGCGGTATTTGAAGCTGTACGTTCCGATGGGTTCCTTCGGGTCATTGTCGACTGACACAGTGCTGCTTGGCGGAATGAGACCGCCATCGGAATAGCTGGACAACATGAGTCTCAGACGGCCTGGTAAATGTTTTCAGGATACTCACGCGGTCCCATGTGAGACAGCCTTGCCCTTCAGCGCCTTCTCCGCAACCTCGAACTCCCGATCGCGCGCCGAGCGATGAGTACTTCTGCCCTCGCGACGGCGTACAGAGCAGCTGTATACGTGAACTTGAATTGTGCCTACCGACTTGAAAACCTCAATGTCGTTTGCCACGCGCTCCTTCGCTGCGTCGTCGACTGTGTCCATGTCAGTATACTGCGCCCGCAACACAGTAACGGGACGACGGACCGGTTGTTACTTTGGAAAACTTGAACTTCTTTAAAGCGTCCATGTCATGGAGCGAGGATGCAATGCGCACCCCGCTGACGACATGACGCCAGACGTTGCTGCCGCAAGGGTTGCGTGACTGTTCCCAGAGGATGCCATCCTTGTGGTCGCCATCGATTGACAGGTAGAAGCCCAAGGCGCTGTGGTCACGAAGCGATCCAGCGGAGTTGTCGACCTCGTAAATGACTGAGAAAGGCGCGTCGTCTTTGGACTCGATGCATCTGAAGCTGCGGTGACGGGCGTTTGCGCGGTTTTTGTCCTCGGCCGCGCCGTCCGGGTCGTCGTATTCTTGGGCTTTGAGGGCGTTGACCTCGACGGTCACCTTGATTCCTGGGAGCTCGTGGATCACTGCCATTGTGACAACTGCCGGTCGGAAGCGCCCAAGTCTTTGTTTCACAATAGCTGAACAAGCGTTTGTAAGACAACACTGAGATGGAGTCAGATGAAAATGAGGCTGAAAGGGATGGAGGAAAAGGACGGGAGCCACCAAGGTTCATTCACAGTGTGAACAGGAAACTGAAGATGAGGCAGCTTGAAAAGGCAATCGTTGGTGGGGAACTGTTGAGGACGTTGTCTGCGCTCGCACTCTCATTGGCGGTTTGTTGGATCAGAGTGGATCCTCGCCAATCGGACAGTGCACGGTTTCAGTGTTGGAAACTGCAGTTTGCAGGGAGGGTTCCTACCTTCCTAAGTAGATAGGTAAGGTGAGGTGCTGTGCTACCTACCTGCCTGTGATATCAGATGATAGGAAGTGGTCCTCAAGGCACCTCCGTATCTTTGCCCGTGTCGTTTTCAAGCTTCAAACTTGCGATTAACAAGATATCGTGAGATGCCCAGAGTACCACGAAATATTTTACGTCCAGTACGTTAGACACGCAGCATGGTTCAACTATTGTCGCATCAGCCACACAGTATTGGCCTGGAGTAAATGACAGATGGATGGATGGATGGATGGATGGATGGATGGACTGTTGGCCTCCTTTCTTTTGAGGTGTCTAAACCGCATTCCAATGGTGAATCACCTCAACCGTATGTAGGGGATGCTTTAATTTCTTCTACCATCAGAAATCCTACACATCACGGAAGGAACTATAAGGGCATCTAAGTCCAGGAGGTTCTAAACACTGATAATAATAAGTATTTCTCTTCTTTGAGCTATCTACTTACTCGAAGCTCCTTGATCAAAATCCTAGGCCAACCAAGAGCAGAACTGGAGATGAATCACAGTACATGCTTTGTTTGCAGCAGGAGCTGGGGAAGGAACGGAGTCTCACACTCCATGTTAGCTCCTTCCTCAATTCAATAGGACGCTCCTTCCAACCAAGACCAGGAAGTTATGGCTTCCCAAGAAGTCTCTTGGCTTTCTCATTCTTGTCTTCAGGCTTTTCCAAGTTTCTTTCCCCACTCGCAACCGCTCTGCTTGGTTATCACCCAGATGGTCGTTTGCGCCATCTATCTTCGCTCCTCATCTCCCCTCGACAAGTCACTTTATCAAAGCCACCGTCATGGCCGTCATCGACGACCTTCCGCAGGTCAAAGTCTCTGTCCGCATGACCGGAGCGGATAGTGACTGCCCCGAGTATGAAGATCCAGATCCTCCCACTACGTCGGCTATTGCTGGTACCGCAGACCACTCTACTGCGAAGGTCATCGAAAGCCACACCGACGCCGAGTACCACATCCGCTACGAAGTCGAAAATAGCCTAAAATGGCTCAGCGGTAATTCGGGTGTCGTCGTCCGCTCCTACATCGACGGCAAAGAAGTGGAGTATACCCTGAGAACTGATACGGCTCTGTCAAGGCAAGTCTGTCGCGGTATTGTGGAAGGGGTAGAAGTTCCTTCGATCAAGCAAGGACATGTCACTTTGAGGAAATTCAAGTTCTCAACCGTCACCAGAGGTAACTTCTACCCAAGTTTACGCCAAATTGACAGGAGATTGTTGACATCAGAGACAATAGTTGAGGGACGCGGTGACAAGATTGTTGATGACAAGAAAGCTGCGAAGCACTTGGGAGTAATCGAGGTTGTTGTATATCGTGCTGTCAAGGTTCACAATATCACGAGGGGGGACACCAATGTTCAGGATTTCCAGTCAGAGTTGTCAAAAAAGGCACTGATTGGCAACACTGCAACGCACGGCACAACGTACGTCGCTGACTTTCGATGCCTCAGCTATCGCTAAAATCTTCTTGCAGGTTCACAAACGGAGGGAACATCAAGAAAATGCCACGGGTCAAGTGTACCTATCCTGATGGCGAGCGTCGACTGGCCCGATTCTTCTTCAGGTACAAATCCAGAGAAATACTCGAGAATGAGGGAATCATTGCCCAGGAACCTTCCCCTTCCCCACCATCGTCCCCTGAAGCACCGACCATCGAAGGTCTCTCTCAATCTGAGCTCCAAAGACTTGCCCAGGAACGTCTCGACGAAATCCATGTAAGTTAAAGATCCCAACGTCAAGGTCTCTAGCAAAATAATAATGAGTGTCAGGCTACAGTGAAGAGAGAGAAGAGAGTCAAGCGCGGGGCGAGTGGCGACGTCGACTTGCGCCCTAGCAAAATCTACAGGACAGATGCTGATGGTACAATCGACCTGACTGATGATTGAGATTATTCGTGGTTGCCACACCCTTAGCTTGGGGGAAATTGCCATGTCCCGTATCGAGTAATAACCAGGAGCTACCCCTTATGGACTTGAAGGGACGAAACGTTTGTCTAGAGACACGAGGTACGAAAGGATGGACCTCGTACTTAGCTATAAAGTTTTCTTCTATTTCAAATTCTCATAGAAAGACTACGTCAATATCCGGAATACTTACAGGTGATGATCAGGACGCGAGGGCTGAAGACCTATTGGCAGAATGATCCCGTCGTTCTCGATCGATTCTTACCCCTAATAATCTGGGACAACGACAACCAGAACCTCGAATTCACCAATAGCATGCCAAGAAAGATGAAGAGAGAGAATGAGAGGCATTCATATCCAATCGATAGATAGCTGTGCACGGGGCAGGTCTGCCAACTTTGGCCTGGCTTTTCCGGTCAGATGGAACGACTGATATAATCGAGCGTTGGTGTGGCATTCTGATCTACGAAGAAAAGGCTGTCTGTGATTGACAGTTTGTGACTTTCAGTAGGAATTCCTATTTTCCGAACTCATGTTGGCAGCTTTCTCGTTGTCGATGGAACCGTCTCTGCCCTCGACCTCTTCCTAAACACCCTCGGCCAGTTCCGAATTGTCAAGTGCGTCTAACAAAATGCTAATGTATCATCATACTACGACGCCAATTCCACGCTTCTCGTATCATTGCTTTCCATTAATAATGTCCACTTGTTACCCTTCTCATTCCGCCGACTCTTTGCAGTTCATGGTGGGTGTATCGATGTGCTTCTGCTCAGTGTGATATCCGCTCTCCGGCCGTCGATAAACTGTTCTTCGCTTACACCCTCGAGAATTGAGACCATTTTTCTTGAACAATAGCCTTCATTCTTTTCTTGTTTGACAAAAGCCTCCTCTGGCTCCTCCTTAAACTCCAGCGCGATGATCTTATTAGGTCTAGGAGGGGAGTCCCCGAACGCTGAACGGGCGCTGCGTTTTCTTGGGTTCACAGTTGCGGTGAAATCTTTTGACTGAATTGGAGCTTTCTCGTCCTCGAGCTCTTGAGCTGAAATATCCTCTACGTACTTGTCTAGAGCAACCGTGGGCTCCAGCGGAGCGTAGCTCCGATCAAGCATAATGAGATCTCTGTCTTCGTCGTCGATTAATGTGGTTTTAGGCTCAAAAGTTCTTGATGCTGGCGGAAGCAAAGCCCTAGGCACTGAAGCCGGAGACGAGCTGAAGTTCATGAGGTCTTCTTGTTTGTCCTCGTTACTCGAGTCGTCTTCGCGCGACATTAGCATGGCCTGGCGGTCGGGATGCATCTGTGTGTCGCTGAACTCCATCAAGTCGTCTTCTTCGGCTGCGAAGATAGCCGGAGCCGCGGCTGCAAAAAGCGTCAGACGCACGATTCCAATTCGATCCGAACGTTTGGAATCACTGACCTGTTACTCGATACGCGAATGTGAAACGTCCAATGGGGCATTCCTAATTCAACCGTTGGACTGCATAAGTCTCGACATCCCTCTTGTAGTATCTTTCTCCAGATGACAGGCTGCCCGGTTAGCAGGCGGTTGCAAAAGCTGAATATCGTACAGAGCAACTCTACCTGATTCCACGAAACAGCCCCTCCAGCGGCACAGTATCAGCGAGTTCATCCCGCTCGGGATGCCCAAGCAGCTTGACGAAGAAAAGCTCGACACGGATTGTGCCTTTAGCAGGATGATTCCCATCCGCCAAGCCTTTGAATTGGAATTTCCGCAGTCGAGACGTTTCTCCGGCTGTCCAGTCGAGAACTCCATGGTAACTTAGGCGCAAAGAAGGCGCATCGGTGTCTTTAAAACCTCGACGCGTGATGAGTCGACGCAGCACTTCGAGTCCATCCATTTCGACGATAATTAAGAGTCCGCGGTCAATCGGGTCGACAAGCTGGCGGAAGCCCATACCGAGGGTGATGTTCACGGAGAAAGGGGCATGCTCTTCCACTTCAAGAAGTCTGTAGCTGCTAGTGGGCGCATCGTGCGCGGGAGCTCCCGGGAAGGGTACTTCAGTCTCGATAGCATCCTGGCCGTTGACTTGAATAGCCACTTCCGCGTCTAAGACGAGTCGGAGACGGACCATGATGTTTGGCGATGCTTGGAGGGTTTCATGTGGAGGCCTTTCGAACTCAGCCAGAACTGGACTCGAATATGCCCTTAGCAACAATAAAGGGGGGAAGGGATGGGGTAAAAGAAGAGACAGGAGTGTCGGCCGGGGGGCTGAGGTTCGAATGCAGAGAGAGATGTGATCAGGGGGCCAATGATAAGGTATCGCGGCTCACTATTACTGACACCCATAGGCACTGGCGAAGGCGAAGGCATTAGTAATCTTATCGAAGGCGCAGAGGTAACGACACGGCTTGGAAGGACTGGACCTGACTTTCAAGCTGGAAGCACCTTCCCTGACGGCGACTTCCCCTTCCGAGACTATTACCCACCGCAGCCTCTTTCTCGATACAACCGAAGCGTCTGCCTCAAAGTCCTGCCAGCAACTTCTAGTTGTCGCCGATTTTAGGTACCTGCTTATCCTGCCTTCTGTTTCCACCTTCCACCTTCCACCTTCTACCTAACTACCTCCTCGTTACCTCCTACACTTCTCCTTCCCACCTCCCATCCCTTGCCTCTCACTCAGTTCGTCTTTCCCCGCTACAAACTTACGGCCATCGCCGCCTCTGATCTCGAAATGGCGATCATAGACACGCTGCCTGCCGTCAACGTCTCGGTGAGACTTCGGACATCTTTTCGAGATGCTCTTGAGTACCCTGATCCGTACGCGTACCAGCGGCGAGAGAGATATCTAGATGATTTCGAACGCTGCTCACGCAACTACATTGAGAGCCAGAACGGAGTCGAGTTCGCCATCCACATTGACGTCGTGGACCACCCCTCCTTGGACCCGTGGGTCTACGGTGACTTTGGTCTCGTCTTCTTTCTTCTCATTGACGGTCAATTCATGGGAAAGCGCTTCTGTCACAGTGATGACTTCTTCCAACGTCACTGGCACTTTGCCTTCAAGGGAAAGAGGCACCCGAATGATGCTCGCTCAGCAATGGTACAGAGAGATTTCAGCTTCGCATCCATCACCACACGTAAGATGACGCTCCAAATCTTCCTGAGTACCTCGCAACGACTTACTGATCGGGCTTGCAGTAGAAGAAGACGCTTCCAACCAGGAGATCCGTCGTGCTCGAGACCTCGGCACCATCGAGGTGAAGGTGAAGCTGGGCAGGTTCTCTGGCATTCCTCGCCGGATTCGAAACGGAAACAGGCACCTATCGCACTAGGAACCGCGGTACGACACGTTTGAGATCCCGGAAGAGGCCTTGAAGGGACGCCCCATTTCCCATGGCACTTCGCAAGTACTCCTCAAAGTCGTCGTTCGCTGCTATCTGCTGACGGTAGCTCTGGTCAGCCTCGCCCGAGCTTACGAGGCCCCCTTGCGCCCTCCGCGCCGAGACCAGAGAGCAGCTTTCGAGAAGGTCCACACCGGTCCGTTGCTTGCCACGTACACGTTCAAGTATCGGTCTTCAGAAGCGCTGCGAATCGAAGAGATCGTCCCCAGAACACCCAGTCCAGAGCCTATGGGTGTCGACACTGAGGAACCCGCCTTTCCTGGATTTGAGGAGCTGCAAGATGAGCAGATCGAGCGGCTTGCACGAGAGCGACTCAGACAGTTGAAGGTCAGGGTCTTTGAGGTTCCTAAAGTGCCAGCTAACTGACACACACTAGGATGAGGCACTTCAGGCGCAGGTATCGTCCAAGAAGCGCAGTTACGATGATTTCTGTGACCTCACGCAGGATGATGATGATTTACCGGCCCGCCCATACAAAGTCGTCAAGCTGAGAACAGGACATGAGGTCATCGATCTCACAGGCGATGACTAGACAATCGTACGAAAAGAGAGGTTCTAGCCCTGGACGAATGTTCTCCCCTGCAGAAACTTCTCTACTCAGTGTTATGGAAGATTTTTTGTGGGTTTGATTCAAGGTACAACATGGAGAGATGTTATGGTTGTTTTGCAATGCTGAGGAAAGAAGCAGGACTCTTCATATGTGGAGAAATGATGCTTGATGGTGGCTGGCTCAAACTAAATTGGTGTGTAAAAGGAAAGATAGCTTTAGATAAATCCGAGAAATCCACTAATGAAGAGTTGATTAGCGGTGATATCGAATATGCAAAGTACTACTAGGTAGTCTCTTGGTTCAAGCGTCTTGTGATATACTTGACTGTCACAAGTCATCGTTGCCGCTGCTGTAGTCGTTGATACTGTTTTATGTGGAAAGAAACTGGTAAAAAGATGAAGAAAACGATAGCTTGAATCATTCGAGGAATAATGGCTGGATATTGCAATTAGACGCTTGGGATTCGATCTGAGCCTCAAGCATAATGTCGCCAAGCTGGGTGTAAGTGAGAAGAAGTGGTCGACCTCGGTAGGTACGTATTGGGGTGCCAAAAAGCCACCCGCTGCAACATCATTAGTGGATCTCATGCTGATGTAAGGCCGACCACAGCGGCAGCGTACCTTATTAAGTGACGCTAGAAGGGAAACGGGGACGTGGATCCGACCCCTGCAGCGCGCCGCGAAGGGGGCCCCGTCCGACTCGCAGCGACACTGGAGCTAGCTCGCTCAACCTCCGTCTTCCGCCAACTCGGAAACCCATGACGTTCAATGCACCCGTCAGGACTCTTTGTCCATCTGTAGTCCACGCCGAAGGACGCGACCATGGTTGATGCCAGATATGTGATGTCCTACTGATTCGTCGCTACTTCAATACCTTCCTTCGCCCTCTCGCCTCCTCTCCGCTGGAGGAGCGCCATCATGTCTCCAGAGGCCTCCAGCAATAGCAACATTCGAGTCTTTATCCGCTGGCACGACCAGACAGTCTTCGCTGGCGAGGAGATCAAGTGCACCATCACGTTCAAAAACATCGCTCGCGACCCAAATCAGCAACGCCAGTCTCAACTCCTCACTCCCACCGACCGCCCGAGGCATGTCTCGCCCTTGCTGAGAGGCAAGTCAAACGCCGGCTTGACCCCGCCGAATTCAGCTCAGACTCGCGGTCATCGATCTGCCCTTTCCCTCAATGTACCGGCTGCTCAATCGCGACGACGCGCCGGCTCGGTGCCATGGCCGTCGCCTCTTACTCCCAATGCCGCAGAGCACCGCGGCAATGGCCATACGAAATCAGTATCTATAGTATCGATTGGTTCTACGAGCACAATAGCCGACGACAACCAAAGCAATGCAGGCTCGACAAGATCTCATAGACCGGGCCGCGGTCATGCACGAGCTTCGAGTCTTCAGATTGTCCCTCGTGGAGCTGCGTTAGGACTCGGAGGGCCTCATTCTGGTAAGCTTCGTTGTCGATGAGTTTGATGCCATTACTGAACCCGCCCAGCGTCACCTAGACACATAAGCTCGCCCTTGTTCAACTCGACATCTGCCTCCGATACACCTCCTGCGACTTCACGATCTTCGACGTTCCCTAATGCGCAGAGCACAGCGGGCTCTCAACGACCAATGAGGTCTCCTAATACCGCGCTGGCCGATTTTCGGTTCCCGATGGTCCAGTCACCACTGTCCGAGTCGACAACCACCCCAATAACGGCACATCACGATGGCCTTCTGAGCCCAAACAACGAGGTGCCTCCGAGCACCTCAGTACGATCTAAAGACAACATTCCTACAATTGTCAACGAACATACGGCTCCAGCGATGCGAATACTATCCACTACGAGCATGGGAGGAGGTACACCGCGCAGCAGCGGAGAGTTCTACTCCATGAGCAATAACTCAACAGAAACGCTGGCCTCCGAATACCCTTCACAGCCCACCAAAGGTCCTATGCGACCGCCGCACTTCAGGCGGGGATCCAATTATGCGTCACATAACCCGAAGCTGCCGGAGTCGTTGATGATGGGCTACGCGCAGATTCAAGGCTCTTTCACACTCGACGGTTCGCTTATCAACATCGGGCCCTTCGAGCAGGTCAAGCGTAAGGCCGTAGTCGGCGGTCAGGGCGGTGGTGTTATCGGAGTGGAACCTTCGAAACGGGATAGTGGACTGCTTCGGAGTTTCGGCTGGGGAACCATCAGCAACTCAATTGGCGAATTACTTGGCGGCGGCGAGCTGAGCAGCATTAAGGACATGCGCGGCATTGCCAGTAACAAGTCTGTGCCTCTGCTCTCGACGCCGCAGTCCATCCTCTTCGTGGACTTGAATCTTGCTCCGGGAGAACACAAGGCCTTCGAATATTCGTTTCAGCTTCCCAAGGGATTGCCACCGACGCATAAGGGCAAGGCGGTAAAAATCTCCTACAGCTTGGTCATTGGCACGCAGCGAGCAGGCGGCTCGAAAGAGCAGCAAGTACGCTCTGTTGAGATCCCTTTCCGAGTGCTGGGCAGCGTCAACAGCTACGGCGAAATCCTCGGCCATGACCTTATGAACCCTTACATAATCCTCCGCGACCAGGCGAAGATCAAGACGGTCGACAAGCTGTCGACACTCGGCGAGATAAAGAAGCTCAAATCCCCGAAAACGGATACATCGACGATCAACGACTTTCTCATTTATGTAGATGAGCTCCTCCTTAGACCACAGCAGGGGTCCAACACCGGCTTGCTTTCTCCCACAGCGTACCCTGGCTCGCGGCGGTCGTCAGCCTTCGAGGATGCGACGACCGCAACAGAGGCCATCAACATGGCCATCATGCGCAGCAATCTGACCACCGAAGGCCAACAGAGCCCGAACCGTTTCGAAATCGCCCGCAACGGCCAGCGGGTCGGCGTCGTCATGCTCACCCGCCCGTCATACCGCCTGGGCGAGGTTGTCACTATGGCAATCGACTTCACCGACGCCGAGATCCCATGCTACGCCGTGCACTCGTGCCTCGAATCCGCCGAGCGCATCGAGCCTCACCTAGCCATCCGATCCGAAGCCTCGATCCACCGCGTCACCCGCAGAGTCCACGTCTCGGCCTCGGAAGCCACCCTCTACAACCGCAGGATGGTCTTCACGCCCACCATCCCCATCAACGCGACGCCCGAGTTCATCACCACCGGCGTGTCGCTCGAGTGGAAGATCCGCGTCGAGTTCGTCGTCCCGAGCCAGGAGACGGAGCTGGAGCGCGAGGCCCCCAGCACGCACCCCCTGCTGGAGGAGATCTCCCGCGACGAGCGCGGCGGACTCGTCCTCGTGGGCGTGGAGAACCTCGCCTGCGAGAGCTTCGAGGTGGCCGTGCCGTTGCGGGTGTACGGCGCCGTCGCGACGGGCCTCGAGAGGCTGGAGAGGGACGAGGCGTTGGAAGAGGGTCTCGTCGTCTGACCTGGTTCGAAACGGAGTGAGGACCGGACAGAGACTGATCATGTAGAACACACGGGGAAGAAAAGAGAAAAGGTCGACCGAGGCGTTGGATAGAGAAACCACCTTTTTATTTTTTTGGAACACGGCACCCTATGGAAATTACAGATTTCAGGAGGCTACTGTGTTTTAGGGAGAGGAGTCCCTTCATTTCGTTTCTGTTAACTTACTTGTACATGAGATGCAATACAACATTGCCCCTCCTTTCCCGGTTTGCAAGACTGGGAGGCATGGTTTGAATCACGATACTCTCTCACAAGGAACAAAGTGGGCGAACAAGTCGAAGGATGATCAACGAGGTATACCCTCGTGTGAAGTTGTATTTCCTAGCGCTGCCCTATATCAAAAAAGGGGCGCAAACCAGAAAAAGAGTATGTAAATCAGACATCAACTCAAACCCAAGGACGCGATAGCCATCCAATCCGCCCTTTCTTACCCATCCGCATCCGCATCCGTCCCCAATGCCCCTGGCCTCCGCGTGTCCCATAATGGGAAGATAGAAAACTCCGGGCTCCTAATTCGCCCCCTTCTTAGGAATACCGTCTCTAATGACGGATATTCTGTTGTCTGTTTTTGCCAAAATGCTGGCTTTTCGCATAGAAAAAGAAGACTGAAAAAAAAGAAAATGTCGCTGTGCTGTGTCGAAAGTCGCAAGAAGAACAAAATGCCGACAAATCAAAAAAGGGGGAACGTTGATCCGCCCTTATTACCCCCCAAAGTCCGAAGGGGGACTTCTTCTCCCTTAAGAATCCGCCCCTAGCCGAAACGCCGTTGTCCTAGTCCAAGTGACGCCGTATGTCCAGCAGGTGTTGTACAGTGATGAAAAAGAAAAGTTACAATGAGTGTGTTATAATGACGATGATGTCGAGGTAGAGGCGGTCTCCCCACCAGCGGTGCTTGGTCGGTCGAGCACCAATTCGATCTCGGGCTCCTCGGATGGGGTCTGCACGTCTCTGATCTCCTTATCCTGGAATGTCTGTCGAAGCTTCTCGTCTAGCATGGAGGCCAGACGCTCTTCGTACTGATCTAGGAGGCCGCTGATGAGAGCGGTGTCGTGCGTTCTGATGGCTCGATCGCCGAGAGCAGCGGCGGTCATGCGAAGCTCCTGATCGAGCTCCGTGAGAGAATCTTGGCTTAGTGGCTCTGTCGATGAAAGCTTTTTTCTATATGCTCTCAGTGTGCGACAGGCTTGTTCTGTAGCCATATTGAGGCTACCGAAGCCGCGTAGATTAGGCGAGCTCTTTTTCGGAGGCATGCCCAATGATGGAAGTGACGGCCGCCTAGATGCCCTCGACTTCGGACTGACCGGAGGGCTGCCAGAGCCTGATGAGCGTCGAGAAGGCGTGCCTTCAGCGATGGATGGGCTGTTTGTTGTGCCCCCTTTGGGCGTACTGACACTATTGTTCAGTCCGTAGCGTGAGGTTCGCCGTTGGACCGTCCTGGGTGATCGCCGTCCGCCGTTGGACGAGGAAGGCCGCTGGAATTCGGCCAGCTCTGCTTTGGACAGCACTCTTCTAAGCGGTGGCCTGGCGGATGCTGATCCATCCTTCATCGGTGACGCGTCTCTGCTGACAGACGTTGGCGAAGAATCGTCGTCCAAGCCCCAGAGCATCACAGTCCCGTCCAGTCCAACACTGATGACTCTCTGGTTGCCATCTTCGTCCTCCGTCAACGTTACACCGCTGATGGACTCAGTGTGACCCCATTCCCTGTCCACAAAGAAGCCGGACTGGGCATCGTAGACGCGAACAGATTTATCCGTGTTGGATATGCCGAGAAGAAGACCTGCGTCTTTACCTGAAGGCTGAGTATAAATGAGGGATTCCATAACTGCAGTCTCGGATCCGCCTTCGTCGATGCACTTGAAGCAATTGATGAGTTTGCCATTAGACAGATCGTAATGGCATATGGACCGGTCGAGCATGGAGACGAACGCAGTCTTATCATCCTGGCCCAGGGCAAAGGAAGTCGGTGATGCTTTTAATGTGACGGTGCGCGCAGAGAGAGCAGCGATCTGGTCAGGATCATCCTCTTTGCACACTATGTCATGAATCTGCAGCGTCCTGTCCATGGAGCTTGTGATGATTCTGTCGGCTGACGGAATGACCGTTTGCACGACCTTGGCAGCGAACTCAAGCGTCTGAAAATGTTGGAACTCTCCGGTTGATAGGCGGTGGAACAGCTGGGTGGTGCGATCTCTACCGCAAGTTGCGAGCAGAAACTTGGCATCGTCTTCGTAGATGCTGATGCCTTGGCAGTCAGAAGAATGTGCCTTGGTCTCGAGGAGGCACTCATTAGTGGTCAAGTCCATGATCCTGAGCACGCCCAGCTTATCGGCTGCTACAAGCATCTTCCCAGCCTGGGTAACCCGTACCACATTGAGCTGATTGACAGGATCCATCCCATTTTCAGGGATCACCTGCTCAATGGGCACCTCCACCGAGAGCTTGACCTTCCCCTGCATATCCCAGAAGATGACCCTGCCGGAACCGGACCACGTGTAGAAGTCCGCGTCCTGATCGTTGGGCTTTGTGATGGCTTGAATTCCCACAATCGCATCTCCATGGCCGGGGATGGGAATATGAGAGGGGTCCTCCTCAGTTTGGCCTGGCAGGTGACTAGAGCTCCAGATGTCGATAGAGTGCTTCTCATCAATGGTGACGAGGTTCTCTGTGAGGAACCCCATAGCCGTCAATCCAGCGGGCGCAACATTCTTGGAAACCATGGCATCCGGTAGGCTCTCTAGCACCGCCTTCACGCTCATTGTCGCGAACTGGCCTGCTTTCCCAGACACGTAAGCAGTCGCGTGTCGGATAGTAATAGATGTGATTGGAAAGTCAACAGTAAAGCATCGCACGAGCTTCGTTTGCTTCCCATCGTCCTCGACCGTGCAGATGTCGCCGGCTTCGGAGCAAATGATGACGTTGGTGTCGTCGATGACAGCTGCACAGGTGAAGGTGGCTTCGAGGAGCGACCCAAGGAGAACGTTGCGACCATGCAAGGCTTTTTGTGGCGGTTGTGGTGTCGAATTGCCCTCGTTGAACCTTGTCTTCGCCGGTGAACTGGGTTGAGCTTCCTCCACACGCCAGGTCTTGATATGTCGTACGCCTAGTGTAATGAGGCTACTTCCCATCCAAACCATGCCCTTGATGGTGGAGGTGCACTTGTTTTGCTGGTACATTTTGGCGCTGCCATTGCGAGGGTCGATTCTCCAGATGAACAGGAAGCCGTCTGTGGATGCGCCTAGAGAAGCAAGCCATCGGGTGTCGGAGGACCACGCAACAGCATTGACTCCAAAACCATGCTCGCTGATAGATACCAGTGGCACATCAGAGGACGCATCCTCGAGGTTGAAGATGAGCACACGGGGTGCGTATCCCGTCTCGCCAACGGCCAAATAACGCCCGTCTCGGCTCAGCGCCAGGCACGTCGCCGCCTTGATGCGTTCACGACTTGTCCATGTGTTCGAGTTGGGCGACACAGACCAGTCCTGGTTCTCTCGAATATGAATGCGGTTCCTGCTATCATTTGCCTTGGGCGTGGAAGGCGAAGGAGAACCGTGCGATAGCGGCGCAGACCCATGGACCGGAGAAGCAGTCGGCCGGGCTCGGTAGAAGCGTTGAGCATACTGTTCTCCGTCTACGTCGACAACCACAACGGCGCCGCCGGCAATGTAGGCGAAGGAGGAGTTGACGGTGTCGAAACCCGTGGGCGAGACGCAGGTTGTGCCGACAACTCGCTTGAGGGACAGGCGGGACTCGTGGGGTAAGCGACCTCGGAGGGGGGATCGGGGCGGACGTTGGAGGTATGGGGAGTTCCCCGGCGTCAGTTTGAGCCGGTTCGTGGGAGTCGCGCTCATCGTGTCGCCATTGGCATGCGGACGCGACTGGAATGTGTGATTACGAGGTGTAGAATTACGGCGTAGACGTCACTCGGTTTCGTAGGTTAACGGTGTAGAATGGAAGTAGGAAAGGTCGTAGTTCGGTCGGTCTTTAACTCGATTGTCGGTTTTATTCTTCGTGAGGCAAGCAATGGCCGTAGGGTAAGCGCGAGTGGTGTAATTGAGGCAAGAAAATGGGAAGTTGCTGCTATCGGAGGGTCTATGTCTATGGTTCAAAGCTGTGAAAAAACGAGGTCAGTCTCGTCCATCTCGAACTCAATTGGGTGAAACAGTCGGATTTTGCACCTCCAGTAGGAACGTACAGTGACATCAGGCAGGGCAACGTCGCCCATAACCCGCAAAAATTAACGTAAATAGATATAGGAGCGGTCAGAAGAATAGGTAAAAGGAGAGGAGGACGCGATGTGCCGAAAAATGAGGAGGTTTTGCTGATGGACGATTCGCAAGGTCGGGTCAGGGTTGGAGCCGGTTGGGTCAAAGGACGCCTGCCGGGAAGAGCCCTGAATCGGGGACGCACCTGCCTGGTGGTTGGTGGTGGTGGTGGTGGTGGTGCTCCTTCTGCTGTCACTGGAGGGCCGCCTGTTGGCCGCAGCGCTGGGGACGGGAAGCTGCCCTAACAGCTGGGAACCGACAGTTGGTCCAGTCGGGTGGGAAAGGAGCCACAGAATCGTCACACCTGCACGCTGCAGTGTGATACAACGCAAAACCCCCGCTCATCACAGCTGTTTTCTGCTCCAACCCTGTCCCGTTTCTTCCCAAAACGGACGTTCCAGTCCACATCGAAATCCACTACCTACGGCACCTGGAGGGGGGGTGTTCAAGGCGGTCTGGCCGGGCCTGTCCAATCACAGCATACGCTTCTCGCCAGTAGACCTCAGAAGGAGGGGGTTCAAAAAATCGACAGCAAAATTGGCTGCATTCTGCACGCCGCAGAGAAGCTAGACGATGTTTACCGCGCTTGAACAAAGGAAACGGCCATGTTCGTCAGTTTCATCGTCGCTGAAGAATCAGCCTCGTCTGTTGGCGCAGAATGTTGATTTCCACCGACACTTACTTAATCCGTCAAAAAGCCTTCATCTCTCTAATAAGACGAGGTCCATGAGCAAACCTCGTCATCAACGGTGTGGCCGCTTACTCTGAGATGGAGAATCGCTCACCCCATGTCCTAGAAAAGCAATATTTTAGACGTCAGTGGGCGGCAGGCGGTCATACTTTCAGGGGTACGCATTGTTCACGAAGAAATCATAATCAGAAGATTAAACGGGCTCCAACCGCCGGAAATCAGACCCTGACACGTTTGACAGCGCGCTCTTGGGCCTCCAGCTTTCTTCATCGCAGACGGCAGACGTCTGTCTGTCTTGTCTTGTTGTTTGCCCGCCGTCCAAGCGCACCGTCGACCGTGCGCCCGCCTGCGGTCGTGAAATGAGCTCCTGCCAGGGGTCCCTGTCACGGTGTTTCCTTCTTTCCTACCGCCCTGACGGTTGATCGCTGGATGATCTGCTCTGCTGCTGTTGGATCGAAAAGAAGAAAAACGGCAGGCTTTGGGGCCTCGGAAAGGTCAACCGCCCAAACGAAATGACATGCTGCAGGTTTTCGGTGAGCTTAAACCCATGTTCCCCGACGGCGTGGCACTTGTTTTGTGGCTTGATATCTTACGGATACATTTGCCTATGGACGCGCTATCGCGTCCGATGGATTTTGATCAATTGAATCTAATTTCAAGCCACTTCTGAACCATATACTGAGACATCTTGGTTCCTCGGAGCTTTTCGACGTGGCTTGGGACACGGTAACAGGCGTCACAGATCTACAAGGCGAACGCCGCGCAGATCGTTATGTTCAATCTTAACCTTATATTCCACACGCTGCTCAAAAAAAAAAAATCCCAAGGAGTATCATTTTCATCATCGATCAAACTATCGATCCTACCGTCATAATCAAGGACGATGGCGATCGTCTCTCAGCAGCAAAACTCCAAACATATCCAGTGTTGGTAGCATCGCCTAAATCCTCTTCCACTTCATTCGTTCATTCCCCTTTTTGCGTTGGCCCTCCGGCTTACGCCATCTCGCCATCAATAGCCTCGTGGAGTGCAATCGGCACCCCTTGTCCCGGGGCGCCGACGATCTCCGCCTTGAGGACCTGTTCATTCCAGATTCCGCGGTACTCAATTCTGTCGTACTTTTGCAAAAATAGCACCACTATTCTCAGTCAGCACTGGCGTGTACGAAGTAGACGAACCGTAACTAACGTGTATAAGCCATCTCCGTCATGGCAAAGTTCTGACCCACGCAGATCCTCGGGCCGCCGTTGAACGGGACGTATTGCCACGGCTTCGGCGTCCAATTCTCCCATCTTTCCGGGGAGTAGATCGCGGGGTCCGCGAATTTCTCGGAGACCGGGGGGTACAACTCTCTTCTCCTCTGCATGGCAAGCGTGCTGTATACGACCGAGTCGCCCTCCAACACCGCGATATCCGGGCCGCCGTTCTGGCCGGGCAGCGTCGTCGTCGTCAGTGCTGAGCGGACGTTGAATGGTACCGCGGGGTACAGACGCAGCGTTTCGTTCAGGCAGTTTGTCAAGTACTTCATGTTCTTAAGATCCTCATACGTAGGTGCCTTATTTGGCCCCAAGGTGGTAAGGATTTCGTTGCGCAGTTTGGCAAAGGTGGCGGGGTATCGAGAGAGTTCGTAAATGGTCCATGAGAGCGTCGCAGCTGTGGTGTCGCGGCCGGCGAGCAAGATGGCGATGAGTTGGTCGCGGATAATCTTGGGGTCGCGAGTGAAGCGAGCGATGTTGTGCAAGAACGTGAAGTCCTTGTCCGACTTGGAGAGCTTCTCGAGCTCATCGGGAGGCAACGCAAGTGCCTCTTCGATATAAGGGACAACAAACTCTTCGATCACACGAATACCGCGCTTGTACTTGCCGTGGGGAAGAATAGATTGGAAGGGCCTGCTCGTGTTAGTCGGGGCTCCACAGTCCAGGACTCGGGAAGACTTACGCCATGATGGTGTAGAACATCTGGTAGCTCTGAACTTCGTTGAACGCATGGGCAAAGTGATTCTTCGGGCTATTCTTGTTAGTCGTCCCCCGTAACTGGGTTGTGGCAGCTACTACTCACTTATCGAGACTGTTGACGCTGTGTCCCAGCAAAAAGTCGGTCGTGACATCCAGCGTCATCCGGTAGAACAAATCCATGATATCAAAAGTGACCCCGGAAGAAGGGAACTTAGACATCATGACTTTCGTCCATTTGTCGAAGATGGCCAAATCACTGACTCTGTCCTTGATGAACATCGGCCTGATGAGGCTGCGGTTATCCTGCCACATCTTGCCATCGGTCGTGAAGATGCTGTCTCCCAGAAACGGAGACCACACCTGATGGAACAGAGGACCCTTTCCAAAATCGGCAAACTTCGAAGTGAGGACCGTCTTGATATGTTCAGGCTCCTTGGTGATGAGAAATCGAAGCCTGCCAGTGAACCCAATCTCGATTGTGTTTGGTGACTCAGGGGTAGCGACGGTGAAAAGCGAGTTAAGGCCTTCGAGAAGCTGGTGTCTGAGCTGGTACCGGCCGATCCGGAGGAATACTGGAATTGCTATTCGGTGTAAGTCAGTTGATGACCGCCATGGCGAGCGGGGGATCTTTGGAGCAGTTCCTTACCAGTGATTGGGTTAGAGGCAATGATCGGAGCCCTTACACCTCCTGCTTTCCGAATCAAGTAGTCGTTTCTGACTCTGTAAAAGACCAGTAACAGGACGTATGCCCCAACCACGTAGCCAGCGACGTGGAGGGGGTTGGCGTTCGTCAAGTTCTCGATTAAACCCATCTTTGACCGAACCGATGTCAAGTTCCCTGTCAAGTTCGTCGTTCGGGTCGTTTGACAGGCTTCTCCGGAGAAGCGGGAAGCAGTAAAAACCGAATAAGAATGAAAGGGAAGAGTCAATTTAGTAATATGTCGATGCCAGTCACCGTTCCTGCAAGTTGCTCGGCCCAGTCTAGACGGAAAGCAGGAGTGACATCGTCTTAACTGATCTCGTTTCAACCCTCACCGAGCGGCACATGTAAAGGCTGTCTGGCTCAGACCGCGGTTAGGTTCAACCCTCCAAACTCGGGGTATGCCTCCTTCTCGTTTCGTTTGGAGCTCGCTGGTCATCGTCTGACGGAACGCACACGATTGGACAGCACGAGCTTGGTGTCTGCATTGTGATCGTAGCGCTCCCCGACCCGGGCGACTCCTGCCAGGGTATGCCATGTAGCTTTGCCAGTTTCGATGCGACTGCAATCAGTAATCCAGGCTGGCCCGTCGGTTCCGCGACACTTAACGAGCTGGCTTTGGCGCTTCCCCTACCTTTGCTGGGCTTCTTTAAACGCGGGGAGAATCCGCCAAGACCCCGCATGATGTGTCCCATCTCTGTCTTAAAGGCATCCGATGCGAGCTCAGATCGCGGCAGCTCGATAGCATTTTCGCTGCCTGTGCACCGCGCACATAATTACTAAACTTTCCGCCAGAACGGCTGAAGTTTGCCAAAAGTAAAGCATGAGTTGTCGTCGTTGGGGGAAAATCGATTTCTGAAGGCATCAAAATGCCAAAAACGCAAAAGTGTAGGACCGACCGCGGTTCGAACGCGGGGCCTAGAGATAACTGCGTGCAACTGCAATCTCTCGCTCTACCACTGAGCTATCGATCCAGCTATTGGGTACGGGAATTGGGCCTCCTTACAGACTAAGGAGTGCGCTTGCCAGCTACATTGGTCTCTGTGCAGTGACTCGGCCCCGCTGCAGCACTGGCCAACTCCACAGGCGGGAGATCACAACCAGGTTCATGTTCAAGAGCCAACCACTAACACGCAAACGTCCTTCCTTCAGTGCCAAGTTGCTTGGTCGCGGATAACCGCCTAGCAAGTTCAATAGGCGGGACAAGGATGGCAAAATTAAATCCGTATTGGTCGAATAATTGCCTCCTTCATTCAGCTTAAGCCCGTGGGCTTTGATAGAAGCATATTTCAGCTTAGACGGCATTGTATCAAGCTCAGACGTGTTACAGCAGATGCGGCCCCAAGCGATATGCTTCCTTCAAATCTTTTTGACAACCGCTCGTACAGATGTCAAAATCCTTAGCCGACAACTTTCTTGAGACCGCCACATGAGCTTAGTTCAGCTTGTCTGAACACTGCGGCACCGAAGCGCACAACAGGATGACGGACTTCCAGTTGAACTCTCGAAACAGGCAGTCGGTCTTGGTTGTAAGATCATGCATGCATAGGCCTCTAAGGGTTCGCCCATGTGTCGAGAGTATTTGAGACGAAGCAATTTGTCAAGCCGTTGGCGGAATGACAACGTCTCATTGTGTAGACGAGCCAGACGCGAGCGGCAGCAGTGCACCATGCCGGCCCTTCCATGGTCGTCGCTAAAGCAACCCGCAGCTGCGACTCATGACGTTCAACTGACGAGCGTTCGTTCCGTAGATATTTCCAGCAAGCTTATCTCAGAGGAGAGTGAAATTCCCGTAGCAGGCGGGGCGGGTCGAGCCCGCGGGGGCATCCGGGGAACGCCTAGAAGAATGCCAAAGATCATGAGAGGCCGGGAAAGCTTGATGCAGCGGAGATGACTCCAGAGTGCTGCAGCATATGTTACTCCCGCAACCCGCAAAACTTGTTGTTGACTGGATGACAAGTCAGGCGTGGAACTTTGGGTCGGATTTTCTGTGGGAACAGAGGCCAGCGATGCTGTGCCCAGTTCCGGCGGGCAACTTGACCTCCCGCACAGCTTGCTTGTTTGATGGACTGCCCGTCCAAAACACTGTTGTATACTCTAAGAAAGAAACTCCCGACTCCCAGATTCATGTACTTCTTTCACTTCTAGCTGTTGAATCTTCCGGTATTCCGGGATGCTCCTGGCATCGACTTGCCGACTCGGGTAACTAGTGAGGCCGAAACCCAGAGCGTGCCGACAAGCGCACCAGGCATTCCTCCGCTCGTCCATGACCGCCGCACTACCGGACTCGGGGATGAACCCCCCAGGCGTCAGCAGAGACCGGGGTTTCGGGGGCTGCGTACGCCACACTGTGCTGATGTCTGGATGTTGAGAGAGCCGCCAAAGCTACGCTGTCATGGACATTGACCGAGGGTTTCTAGGTGCAGGAGCTTTCCCCGCAAAGCTAGAGACGTAAGGGAGGGCAGTTGGTTGGGGAGTTGTGGGTTGAACAAGATGGGATCAACTATTTGTGTGAAGGAGTTGGCTATTCATAGGGTGATGCGGGGAAGCAGAGATGGGGGAGCGTTCGAGAATCGCGGGGCCCCATCCGTAGCCGCCTTGAGTGTGGGCAACTGTGTCAGACACGGCATGTGTTGTCTGCGTCAGTAGTACGGCTCTGAAGCTCCCTTCGAGCGAAGATGTGGAGGCGTTTCCTCATAATTGGAGTACTCGTATGTGGGCGGTATCTCTCTCGTACTTTGGCGCATCGCAGCGGGCGAAGCGGGACAGAAACGCAACCGATGGGCGGCGTGTAGCCTCAACACTGTGCAGCGAGTGGTGCGTGGGATGGAGAATGTGGGGGACAGCTGTGCCAGATGCTGGGGTAGCAGCAATTAGCCCGCGGCACTGTTGCTTCTTGTTGGCGTATTCCTGGGTTGAGTCGTGAGTTGCGTCGCGTCAGGCTCGGGTTGCGAGGTGCATGATCCGCAGGTCCCTCTGGACGAACGGAAATGAAGGCCATGAAGCTATTCGCAGCCACCTCCCTGCGACTTCGGACCGGAAATGCTGCGGTTGCTTTGCCTTAGTCAAGGTCCATCCACAATGAGGGTCCCAGATTGACGTCGTTGGAGAAAGTACACACCTCAGTAAACACTGGGTTAGCCAAGATGGCTTGGCCACAGCGCAGCAACTCCATTCGTATTATTAGAAGCTACTTGCAAGGTCGGCCAAGCAAGGGAGACTCATCGAGATGCAGCCGACATCCGCCGTGTTTGAGTCACTTTCAATCACCGAGCCGTTGTCGTTGACGGCGACCTGTAGCCGGTGGCCAGACGTTCAACAAATTGAAAAGTGACGGCAGAGACGGAAAGATTGAGAGCATGAGTCGGGGCCCCTGGAACGGCGTCAGCAACGTCGGGTTCGGTGGTGTGCGGCGTAGGAGTTGCGTGGTGCAAAAAGTGGCGTTACATGGACAATAGCGGTTTGGCGTCGTAGATGCCGAGAGATTGCGGCGACCAACGAAGCTAATGGGTGCTGGGGACCCTGTAGCTGATCTACACTAGAGCTTGACCAACGCCTGGAAGGGCCTGACGACGAGAAGCTTGGTGTGGAATGTTCGATGCCGGTGTTTTCCCACCTAGGTCGGTACCTTGGTAAAGTAGGTAGGTGGTTTGAGAAGGAGAAGGGAAAGACGGGACTCGGTCCAGAGCAAGAATTTCCATCATCTGGTTACAATAACATGAGCAGGGAAGGAGGACCCAAAAGATTGGACATTGGACAGGACCTTCCAGAATGGGGAATGGGCTTTACGTGGTGCCGTTTTTACACTGCTGTGGCGCCGAGTCTGGAAGGGATTAGGCGAATCTCATTCGTCCCGTCTGGTGATTCTCCATCTTCAGCTCGAGAATCTCATGCTTTTCTGGGTGTTCTTCGGCCCTACGGCGCAAAATTCTTCAGCAATACACTCAACCCCAAGGTGATGTCTCAAGACAATGAACACTATTGTTGTTATCCGCCACAGGTGTCCGATGTAGTAACGCGCAACATGGACACCGCTCTCGCTGTCTTGCTCGCCGCCACTTTCGGCCTCGTATCTTGCCAGGCTCTTGGTCAGTCAGTCAATCAATGAGGATATCAGATCAGATCAGGCCGACGATCCAGAGTTTCTTGGTACAGGTAAGGGAGCCAGGGAAAAGGTACTTCCAATGCTGCGAGGCACCTACTGTAGCTGCCAACAAAACCCAATCCAACCTGTCGGCGACGACCGTCAACTCTTTACGGCAAATATCCCCAAGAACAGCAACGTCAACATGGTCCACGGCCTGTGGTTCCACCCCCCACGCTCATGGTTGCAGATGAATTCCACTCCCCACCAGCCTTCGACACCATTGTCTGCTGTGTCTCGACGTCAACCACGAGCTGTCAGGTGGAGTTTTCAGTTCCTTCGACAATCCCCCAGTCTGGATGCGTGAAGCTCGCAAACTTCCTTCTCTCCACGCCGCCTGTCCTGACTCCTGACGCATGTCCGCCTGCCGCCGAAACCATGATCCCGGCCCAGGGTCCAGCAACCGCCGTCCGTCTCTTCTTTCATCAACTCGCCCACGCGAGCACTCTGGCCTCAAGTATCTTCAACCTCCTGGGAGCACTGTGTCGATGGCAACCTCGCAAACCAATCAGACCCAGACGCCGCCCTTCTTCCCATTGCCGCTTGTCCTTAATGCGCGCGGGGTAACATGTTTCCCGTTGTACCTAGCTTCCATCCTTCCATTCCAAGGTGGCATAAACCTTGAACGCAGAACCCCCGTCCCGGTGGAGCGGGCGAGCGATCAACTGCAAGTGCAGGGCCTGGGCTGCAACCTCCAGAACCTCCCTAAGGTACTCCAAGTCCAACTCCAATTCCCATCCCTTCTGCGGCTCGCTTCTCCAACATTTCGACGACTTGATTGACGTGCGGTGATCCGGCCCACGCTCACCCGGCCTTGGCTTGGCCTTGGGAGTGCGCCTGGCTCTCTTCTGTCACTGTGAGGGGTAAAAGCTCCGTTGACTGCGGTTCCCGGCCTGTCGTCAACATCATACGTTTTTTGCTCTAGCCTTGTCCAGTGGATGCCCAGTCGGCCCTGATACCACATCCAC